ATGATAAATTTACCATGGATCCTCCTTGTGTGGCCATGGGCATCAGAGTTCCATAAAAATACCACAGAAACCGCGTTGATCGTTTTCTCTTAAAGTTAAAAGGTTTCTGGTCTCAAACCCTTCAAGGGATTCAGCAAAAATCTTTTCAGGACTGATGGTTGTTTCCAGCGTAGAACAAGGAGCTAGTTTTCACCAAGCTGGTCACACATTGGTTCAGCTTCCAGTGTTTGTTTGTACATTTTCTGTTGCTCATTCTAATGATGTTATGAAGTCGACAGGTGAATGTTGGCTTTTTGATGCTGATGTCCTCCCAGTGACAGAATTGTACTCAGACCCAGTTCTGGTCATGAATCTCCAATGGGACGTCATGTCCTGTCTTGGTTCCAGTTCTCACTCGAGCTTCTTCCTTGCTCCAGTTTTTTTTTTGGTTTGTGTAACTGTGCATGAATGCACGGCCAACACGGAGCGAAGACTTTCCTCAGAGACTTTTTGCTGTCACTCTGGCTTAACAGTGCTCTGTGTATTCATGACCAGGGGACTGATGCATAAAAGAGTGCGCAGTTTTCACACTAAAACTTAACGAATGGAAAAATTTAGAAAAATGCAGCACACACACAAAAAAATCTAGACGCTCATAAACCATCATCAATATTTCCCAGCAGATCAATATGGACTCTGATCAATCGCTTCCTCTGAATCCTGCCATTGGAGATGTTCTCCACAAAAGCGAAAGCTCCTCAATACACGGCTCACCTTTATGCAGCTACTTATATACAATATACGATTGTATATATACCTTGATCATCTTAAAAATAATCAAACCTGTTGATTATTTTGAATCAGCAGCTTTGGTCCAATTTTAGTGAGACTGATTTGAGTCTAAAGATGCTTTTCATGCGCTTCGACGCACAGACAAAAAGACGTTACGTTTTTATCAGATAAAAACGGAGGAAAAAGTACTATTTACATTCTTGTTAGGTTTTCACATACTTTTATTTTTATTTTCTTTAGATGGTGTGGATGTCTGAGGATAATAAGCTAACAGTAAAATATGGAAATTATGAAAAACATCAGGTTTGATGCTTCTTGGTCTAAACAGTCAGATTTCAGTGTATTCAGGTGAGTTTTGTAGTTTAATATTGTCCACAGAAAATGTTTGCGTCTATTTACGCAAACTTTGACACAAAGGAAATTTTTATTCATGTCGACTCGTGCGTAAAATATGCCGCCGCACATTTTTTGTGCGCACGCACGCTTTACGCATGAGGCCCCGGGTGATTTATATCCATTGTGACTCAACACCTCCCTGCAGACCCCCAGGCCACCATCAGTTGGCCTTCAACCCAGCTGTAGCACCCTTCCCCTGGGCACTGTGAGATGCTCTGCCCCCATTTCTCATACTGCAGTTTGAATTTCAGCTCACATACCTCAGTAGCTGCCAGATGAGATGGTTTCTCTCTGCCTTTAGAAGTCTTAAATGTCAAAAACTGTGAAGCTTTAACATGGGAATGGCCACAGGAAATACTCAGCTAGTAGATCAAGACTGAATCGCTGTTCTGATCTGTATTTTCAGTACTTTTCTTATCAAAACAACTGTATTGCCTGCATGTTTTGGGTAGTACTGGTGGAACCGGTAAATGCACATTCCCACAGGAAAATATTTCATATGAACTGCCATTAGGCTGGAGCGCTTGACCTGATTAATCGTGATGAATCAGTCTTAAAAATAGTCACTAAGTAATTTAGTAATAGATTGTTCACTACAAATTACCTTTAGAAAAAGGTAATTTGCAGATCACAAACTTGCTTTGAGTTAAAAGGATTAATTGTGACAAAAAGCAAAAACTGAAGAAATCAGAAAGGGATCATTTTTTACAACCTTGAATTAGGTTATACTTCAGATAGAACAAGGTAATTTATTTACTGTCTCAGTGCACCAACAAGTTGATTTGTAAACTGCCTGTTTAGGATAATGCTTGTTGTTTTAATGGATTTATTGGCGCAGATTTCCTTAATTTTGGGAGACTGGTGATTGGCCTATACTTGTATGTGAAGCTGATCTTTTTCCTTGTTCTTATTTACTGCAGCAAAGGTCTAAAACTCAACCACTGTCTTTGTCTGCTCTGCTGTGGGAGGTTTGAGTGGTAGACCGGCTCACCACATTTGCAACATCAGTTGCACTGAACAACAATAATTCACTGTTGTAAACTCAGCGACTTTCTTGGTATACTTGGTGACATTTCAGACAAAAAAAAAAAAAAAAGAGTATCAGCCAAAATCGGAATCGGGAGAAAACCGCAATCAGTGTTCCCCTATTATCAACCAAGCTGTAATATTTTTGAACAGATGATTCTGGAAATCAGATGTTTGCTTTTCACTTTTTTAGATTGCTTCTTTAGAAGCATTGTGTTTGAGACGTTGCATTAAAGCCCTCATTTTTATTTCAGACTGTGAAAATATTTTTTGTTTTGACATGCAGTAATTACAAATATCTGCCTTCAACTGAACGTGACCCGTCTATCCCGATATCTTATCGCAGACGTTTAAGAAGTTAGAAGCACCTGCTTCCCAAGATCAAACGATGTAAAAAGCTGCGGTATGTGTTAGAACATCAGCTGTAACACTTCTTAATGAATAATTCAAACACTACATCTTTGTGTTTGTTTTAAAAGTTTCTCTCTTTTTTTTCTGAAACAAGAGTCAGAAACAGCAGAGCTCATTAGCCAGCATTCAAGTCCAGGTTCATTATCTGCAGAGCAATGATCATAAGCAGGCCAGACTTAATGATCACAGCACATTGATCTTTGGCTCTCTCTGTCTAAACCTGATATCGATCGCACTGCACACATGCACAAACAGGACAAACCGCTGCAGTCAGGCTTTCACACTCAAAGGTAAGTGCTTTCATGTAAAATGACATTCAGCTGAGTAAAAAAAGATTTCCAAAGCAATTTGGCTCAGTGTGAAAAAGTAATTACTCCCTTTAAATCATGAATTGTCTGTCCGCTAGAATCAATGCAAGTGCTGCTTAGTGTCACAAGTTTGGACCCATTGAGATTATTTTATCTCATGCTCTGCTGTGCACACGCTCTGTCTGCACTGATGAACATTCATCCACCTTTGCAAAACTGAATGCTTGAAGTGGCTCCAACTGAGGGCATTCTAACCTGTTTTCTGATTAATTCAGCTATTAATTATTTGACCATTTGGAGGATTAGCTGTGATGCAGGGTAACATAAATTTAGCTCTCTAGCAGGAAGTCCTGGAAGAGACCAGTTTGACTTTAATCCCAAACCCACTTGGGTTATGTGACAGAACAATGATACCAAGTACCTCTGGGAGGAAAGAGCAGATGTCTGGAGTGGCTTTGTCAAAGTTTGGACTTTAGCTTGTTGGAGATGCCCTTAATTGGGTCATCCATTTGTAATAATTCTGCAAATATGACTGGGTTAAGATTGGAAAGTTGCCCCTGTGGCTCAGAAAGTTATCAGATTTCGAGGCCAGCTTACCTTCTTATGTTATGATACTTGCTAGTTATGATGATCAGTAATTCTTTTACCTGTCATTAATGTGTCATAATGAGAATGAAGAAGTTCTCCAAGGGCTTATAACAAGAATAATTAAGCTCTCCTTGTGTCTTTATGTTCTTGTTGAATATGAGTCAGGATTCTGTGAATTGTTCCTTAGTGATTTTGGGACTCAAGTGGTTTTTTTTTTTTTCTTTTTCTTTTACAGCTGGATCTTTAATTTGTGGCTTTATTTAAGTAGAAATCTACTTTCTAGTAGCTTCTGATGAGCTTTTCCTCCATGTTCCACTACTTCTTACACAGCCGTCCAATTTCCTGATCACACTTCTAATTGCTGTCTAATCTTCCTGGATTAATCAGTAACTTGTTCAAAGTCTTTCAGACTTGAATGTGCCTCTCCACATATAATTTGTTTTCCTTTCTTAAATGCTTGACCTACCTGAAGTGCTAACATTCCAGTTAAAGTCTCCAGCTCTTAGGAACCCGCACACGTTCCGTTCCACTTTGGTTTCCATTCAACGGCCAACTTATGGCACGGAAACAAGCAGGGAAGGAACTCACACTCCCATCTCATTAAAATGGACTTTAATTAGTCCATTTTTTCACAGCCGAACTTTTTAAAACCGTGGTGAAGTTTTGTTGTCTCCATTTCCCAGATTAGACTTGAATGTCATGTTCTCTCAACTTTCCCATTTTGAGGAGAAAGATGGAGGGAAATATGCCTTAGATGTAAATTTGAAAATGAACGTATAAATGATTGGAATGCTTTTACGTGTAACGGAACGAAGAAGAAATAAAGCAACAGAGACGACTTATATATAGATATATCTTCATGTAAAGAATTGTTCTACATATTTACCCGGGTAGGCTACCTTTTATGAAATCTGGTTCCTTCACTCTCTCCTTGGCTATTCCTGTTTTCTGCAGCTCACTGTCTCACAAAGGCCAGCATTGTTCCCAACAGAATTTCAATTCGCTCCAAATTGAAAGCAGGTGTTGCGCTGCGGTTTCATCCAGTAAGAGGGGTGACCGGCGGGTCGGGCGGGGTCCGGACTCTGGACTCCTCTCTTTTGGCGGCGTGTCCCTCACGCCATCACAATCTCCAGCCTTTTTTCTACACGACTCAACCATACACTAACTGCAACTCAAGTGACTGAAATTATCAGCGGGTTTTTTCCTTTTTAAAAACATTTTCTAGAGTTGAGTGCAGCCGAACAGCCACCTGTGGCTCTCAAAAACATAATCAAGCTCAAACAAATCGCTTCAGTGTGGTATTTTTTCCCCAAATGTGCTTGCTTTACAGCTCTGTTTGAGAATTCTGCCTGAGCGTTTGAAGGGCTGCACGGTTTGTGTCAAATGAGCTCATAATGCAAGACGATACGACACATCTTTACTTCAACATGTCCCGCGTTGTGTGCTTAAGACCCATTCTCCCAATTCATGCAGAAAGACTTCCCTCTTACTGGGCAATAAACAGAACCATATGTGGAAGTCTTGGAACAGAAAAGGTTTAAATATGGGAATGAAAATGATTGTGGGTTAGCTTGTGGTCATGGATGTACATTATTGTTGGGCACGAGGGACGGAGCACCTCAGCGCGATGCTCCTCTGGATCACGATGATTTACTGTCATGTTTACGCCTTCCTCCAATGACGGCACGCTTTAGCTGAGGATGGAGATTGGTTCAGCTCAAAACGAACAGAAAATAGATCGGAAGAAATCGACCTAACTGATATAATGTCAGACAGAAATAAGGAAAAAGGCTTTTTACTGGGTTCATATCAGTCCGTGTCTGGGCAGAGGGAAAGGAGCTTGCCTTTGAGACTTCCTCCCTCCCGTCTCTTCGGCTCTAAGTGGGGTCGCGGTCGAACTAGCGTAGCGATGCTTTTCATTAGCTAAGTGCAACTGCAGGAGAAGAGCAGCGAGCCTTGATTCACTGGGTCTCCTCTGAACGTGCACGCACATACACAATTATACTCTCTCCTTGTTGTCTTCCTCTTCTTTCCCTTTAAACCATCTCTTTTTTTCCATCATCTGCATCCATTTCTGCTTCGACTTCCTTGCCACTCAGCATGACTCTCCTGTACATTGTTCCTCCTGGGAATCTCCTGCAGCCTGCAGGGGAGGAGCACATGGGTTTCCAGTTAAATTTGAAAACGCGAAGTGACTTTTGCAGCAAGATTATTACTGGTAATTACAGGAAAAGAGTTGTAGTTTGCTGTTTTTTGTGGCTAAATTTAAGATAATCAGCTATGTAGCATATTTGCCTCTTGTTTTCTTTTTTACTGAAATCTATCTGATCAAATCTTATTTAAACAGTGACGGTAAATTCCAGATGTAGCTTTGCAAACACACAGCTAATATTTGCGACGAGATGCATTGACCCCGGTTGCCACAGCAGTCAGGTAACCACGGCACCTGGCTGTGACACAGCTGGACGCGTGTGATTGGTTCAGCTTTCTAGTGGCTTTCTGCCAGGTCATCTTTAACATCGGGGCTGTGCAGTTCTATTTATAAACCCGGACTGGACCTGCACTGTAAAAAACCGCGTGGAGGAGTTGGTAAAAGCACTTGGATATTTATTATTCATTTTTAACAATATCGACTAATTTGAAGGATATGAATAAACAATAAACCCCGAAGAAAGAAACTTTTCAAATTTTTGTAAAATACAAGACGGAAAACTGAGTTTCTGTTGCGAGGCACCCAGATTTGTTGAATGAAGTTCTCAGTATTAGATGAAGCTTTACAGACTTTGAAGTGAGATTGTTTTATTGTTTTATGTGTCAATTGTGAAGATTTAAAGCAAAAGCAACGAAGGATTCATATGCATTCGAAACATGTCAGAGTTCAGTTGAACTGAACCGACACCAAGTTTTTTTTAGAGACTTTCACCAAAAATTTTTTGTCAAAAAGACCCTAACCTCATCCTTCCTTCTTGCATGTTTTGTGTACTTGATAGTTTAAGTCCTTCAGTTTTCACAAGAGGCATCAGCGTTCAAAAACAGCTAAAAAATCGGCAATAATTGAAGATAACTTTCTTCTAGCAGGCCGTTTTCTTTAACATGCTCTGTCCAGCTCAGTGTAGCCAAAGTCAGGATTTCTCTCCGGAGCTTTGGTGAGAGTGTCGCAGTGTGACAAAACCCATTAAGATGTGGGCAGATAAGCAAGTAAAACAATGAGAAGCAGACTTTTGAAAAAATAAAAAAAAAGCTCTGAGCCAAATTAGATGTGGGACACGGATGGGGGGAAAACATGAAAGGCTAAAGGGAAAATTAGCTCAAATATGATGGCGCAACAACTTTCATCAACTAGTTCGCAAGCTGAAGGGTTTCAGCTGCTTTCTCAAAATGAACCTGAGTTTGAAGCCAGAATGTTAAAAATCTCATACACACAAACCAACTGTTGGTCAGAAATCCTAGAAGTGATATCTATAGACCTTGAGTACCATTCAGCATCAATATTTAATTAACCTTGTAATGGTTGGCTTGTTGTTGTTTGAGGCCGTTTAACACTTGGAGGAAGTGCAAATATCGCTTCTTCATGTTTTATTATATTATAAGATGTAGCTTGAGTAATTTATTGTAACATTAGTTTGTTCCGGTGAAGGAGGAATTAGTGTCTCACTCAGCTGAAAGCTAAATCATGGAAGCTGCTGAAAGAGACGCTAGAGTCAACGCTGACTGACCACATGTTACATATCCCGGCTTTTCTCCCCCGTCAGCGGCGACTCGCTGAGTCGGCTTGGCTCGGCCACGGAGGGAATCCTTCCTTCATTTAACCTGTCAAGGTGACAGCTGGAACAAGACGCTGGCTCCTGGCGCCCAGAGCGGCACAGCTGCACAAACACACACAGGAAATGGCATCATTACTATGAGTCATAAGAAGGCTGCTCAGACACAAGAGCAGAGAGGAGGAGAGCTAAACAGGTCGAATGCTCTCTGATTGTTTTTTTTTGTCGAGGAATGAAACACTTTGAACAAATCAAATCAGAGCGGATTGATATGCAGCTGTTTGGCAGGGAAAACTACACTTGAAAACGGTTCTTCTTTGATAGTGAATGAGATAAGTCGTGGAATGGATGTGTTTAGTGTCTCAGGGGGGGATTCTCTACAAAGAGAAACACCGAACACACCACAGCTGCAGCCACCACCTCCGATAGTGTCAGTGTTATTGTCTTTGGTTGCCAGATTCCCTCTGAAGCTGTTGTCCTCTGCTTGTGCCCCAAGGACTAATCAGACATATAAAGATGCAGAGCGTGTTTTTCGTCTGGAATCCAGTGACATCAGAGCCCCGACCTGTCCAGTGATGAAATGCGTGAAATTATCAGTGAATATCTGTGGACTGAACGTTGGTATTTTCCTCGTTGTTGTTTTCCCGCAGCCCGACGAGCTGGAGGGCGTCCACACGCACACCTTCAAGCTGAAGCCCTTCAAGAAGGCAAAGAGTTGTGATATATGCAAGCAGGCCATCACTAAGGAGGGTCTCATCTGTAAAGGTGAGTGTCTGGGATTCAATCTTTTTTTTTCTCTTTTTTTTATTGTTGTCAAAAATGATTATTTTACCAAAGTCATCTTTTGGCAACAACTCTTGAAACTGAGGGATGAATAAATGAATGAATAGATGGATATATGGATTGTCCTGATGATGGCAGTAAACATCCAGCTAGAACATCTGATCTTGACTAACCCAGATCAATAGTTTCTCTGATGATCTGTTTGGCCTAATCTTTACATCAGACACATTGATTCTTTGAAAGCCATTGTATGTGTCAAATTTAAACAGTTTTAGCTAATATTGCTTTTCTGATCAAGCAGAAATATGACTAAACTCCTGCATGCACGTGTCACCAACATGCTTTGATTGACCAAATGTTTCATTGTTCCTCCAAGAGAAATATTTGCCTTCCTCATTTTCTCCCTTTATCGCCTTTCACACATCTTAAGTAGATCTCTCTGTCACTTTTCAACGGCGTCTCAAAGACAGTGGCTTTAACTGAGGCTGAGATGAAGAGTGTAGAGAAAGGAGAAAGAGGATGGGGCTTGTGAAGGGCTTTGGCTGAGGATTTGGTGTTTAAAATTAGCATGGCTGCTGCTGCATTAGCCTAGATAAGAGGCAAAAGAGGGGAAAAGGGGGTGAGGAGTGGGGTGCAGGGCAGAGGCAGGCAAAGGAGCTAAAATATGGGGAGAAGAGATGAAATAAGGAGTCAGACATGGAAGAGGAAAAGAAAATGAGGACAGTAGAGAATTATGTTCTCTTTCATCTTCTTTTATTAATTATCATAAACCCTAAAATACAGAAGAAAACAAGCTAAAACCCAACAGAAACTACATCCAGAAATTAGCAGGGAGCTTCAAGATTTCACCTCCTGCATGCTGTATTTATCGCCTTTCTGTTCAAGATGACAGAGCGAGAAAAACGTAACATTCAACTTCCAGGCATTTTCTTGTTAATTGACCGATTTTGGTCATTTATTGGCTAAACTTGTGACAATAAAATTCGCTCTTCAAAACCAAACAGCTTTTAGTGGAGGGTGTGTGATGGAGTGGGGCAGGAAAAGCGAGACATGTGATGACTGGAGGCAGTGAGGTCGTTCGAGGCAGAGCTAAGAAACAGGCTAGCATAGCGGAAAAGGTAGCTACGCTAAAGCACATATGCCATTTTTGCTCTTTGACGTCTTTAGGAAACATCTAGCTGGGCTAAATGTTTCCGCTCTGTTTTGCCTTTCTGATTGAAATAATTAGCAGGCAGTGCTTCACCAGCACAGCTACTAAGTAATTCATTCATCATCATGACACAGGTTTACCTCATTTAAGCTGGGAGTGTTTTCCTACTACTCAGGCAACCAGAAACCTCTCTCAGCCATATGGAGCGTCATCCATCAGCACCGGGACAAGCAGCTCCTGGCCTCCATCAAATTATTTTTATATCATGTGACAGTTGAAAAAAAAATCACTATAAAATCTTCAAATGTAAAAAAAATAAATAAAACAAACATTTAAAGACAAAGAAAGTAATTGATTGCTGTTTTTATCCACTTGAGGGCAGCGTTGTAGCGCCCCACTCTCAAAATTGGAGCTGGAACTTATTTAGCGCTAAAAATGCTTCTGCTTTCACACCATCCATATGTTTGTGTTTTGGTATTTTTTTGTCTTTAAGCTACTCAATAATGAATTGATAACCTTCCTCTGTTGTTTCAGCGTGCCGCCTGTCCTGCCATAAAAAATGTGAAGTGAAGGTAAGACCCTAACTCTGCTGTGCTCTTCCAACCTTACCTCTTCACATTACTTGTTTTGTTCAAACTTTTGCAATTTAATAAGGAACTGTACGTTGAATTTTTTCTTAAGATTATTAAGTTTGTTTATCCTCATTATGGAACAAATACATGTCTGTCTAATTAGAACTTTAACTCCTTGTCGTTGCTACTAGCTCAAACGTCCGGTGAATGTTCTATTCTTCTCCACGGAATATCAGTTGAGATTTTTGCGTTGAATTTCTTCTCATTTCCATGTGTTTTCAGACTAATTTCAGTTTAAGTGAGCAATGCTTGAGTGCTGAGATTGCTTCACTTGATTCCAATAATTAATTTAAAATGTTAAAATCTTGTAGATCTTGACCTGCCATAAAACTTGGCACTAACGCAACCAAACTATGCAAGTAGATCCTCCAAACAGCATGGCATTAAATACCCAGAGTGCACTGCCTCAGTTTTATCTCGCCAAGCATCAGTCGGTCACATCCTCTCTTTTCTCTCCTGCCCTCTACGGAGAGCCGGTCTCATTATTCCTCCTGATTTATCCCAGACAAGCCTCCAGGAATGCTGTTCCCGTGGTTTGTCGTGTTCGCTGGGCTGGTGGGTTGGAACACACCAGCGAGGTTTGGCAGGGAAGCTTGGGGAGAGAGAGGAATGATGGGAAGGGGCTGGATGAAAACCAGCAAGAATGCATGAAGTTTAAATATTTGTCAACGCCGGAGATTAATTTGTCTCAAAATGATTTCTTTTATCACTTAAAAAAATAAAAAATACAATTATTGTATGTTTGCGTTCCTCGCTAAATGAATGCGGTCGTCCCTGACTTTTTGCGCGTTTCAGTGCTCCCATTCCACCTCGGCCACAGAACAAATTTCCACGTCTTACAGTCGTATATTTCAGAGAATGAACAGTATGAAACACGGCGGTTGCAAAGTGGCCGCAATCCACGAATAGAATGTTAAAAAGAGAGCTATAAATGCATAATGTCCAAACTGATACGTTTGGCTTTACGCTGACTAGTTACACATAAAAGTAAATAAAAGAAAAATGTATTGGTCGGGTTAAAATTTGCGGCGTTGGTGAGTTCAAATTTAATGTGCCACTAAACTTTATGAAGTGTGGACGGATCCACCAACCAAGACGCAATTTTTTATCGCACAAAATAAAAGATAACACAGATGATTCGAATTTTCTTGCATGACCCATAAACAGCTGAGCCCCGGTTTGACTCGGAGTCTTAAACGGTGAAACACTGAGGTCAACAGTTTGTAATCTAAGCATCCCTGACATTTTCATCCACAGTCGCGCTCGTGTGATGTGTGGAAACTGGGAGAGGCCTTTAATTAGATGCTTTGCAAATGACATGCTCTATACAGTGTTGTTAGGGGACACATAGCTGGAACACTTTGGGCCGTTTAAAGCACCCTTTGTCTCGTCTTTATTCCCGAAAAGCTAAAATTGAGCCGGAGACATAAGAGCTGATAATTATCCAACGTTGATCGACACAAACAATTCCTTTCTGCTTTACTGCAACTATTATTTTAATTCACATAGTGTATATAATACAAAACGTATGACAAAACTGTCTTTGATTCAGAATTGTACGGAGCAATAGCATGACTGTACTTATATAGAACTTTATTAGTCATACCAAACAGTCAAAATGCTTGTAATAGAGTCATCAAAGCAAAAACAAATGTGATTATTGTTTTGTTTTTTTTATAAATCAGTTTTGTAAAAAAAACGCCTCTGAGTTTCACATACAAGAATTGTACACAACCCAAACCAGAGCACACCAGCAATTTGCCTTTTAATTTCCAAAGCCTTTCATTTTTTCCCCCCTTTCTGCTCCACTCTTGACGTACATGACACAGAATGTCGAACACCCTAAAATAAAATTCTTGTCGAAAAAGTCTGCAGTTAAGTAAAGGAGACGCACGTTGAAGCAGTAAAAGCTTATCTTGGGTTTAGCATTCCCACAAGCTTGCATTTATGCTAATGTTGCTGCCGACACCTACACTAACACCTAACACAGCATAGAGTCGCAAAACTCAGTATCTGTTTACGCAATACAAATGCAAACAATTTGTAAGAAATTTTTAGCTTAAGATGCAAAAAAATATATATTTTTTTCCCACATTATTTAGTATGCTTCTAGCTTGTTGATTAGCAGAAAACTTGACATAAAGCTGAAGCGCTATCTTGTGTTGAAACTGTGTGCTATCTTGTGTTATGCTAGGCCCATGTTGTCACCGGACCAACATGGTGGCCATTATCGCCAAAGATAGTTTGTTTAGATAGTGCGTTGTGCAGCTGCGTCCCAACAATTATTAAATAGCAAGCGTCATTATGGGCTTAAAGGGTATATTTTTCATAACTGTGCTGTTATGTGAAGAACATTCATAAATTCTGCAATCACTGATCCCAAAATCCCCTCTTCAGATTAAGCCCACTCATGACTTATTTTTAGTCATGTTTGAATATTTTCTCCATCTACGGTTCTTATTTCCATTAGATTTATTTTCCAAAATAGAGAAAGTGGGGCGAGACCAAAAGCTGCACTAAGAACTCTACGGGTTTGAGGAAGGTTCAGGAATGTTGGCATGGAAAAAAATAAATAAATAAATAAAGCACCTATCCAAGCATGAAAGTGAAAAAGGTAGGACCATGAGGGAGAAAAGAAAAACGACGGGGCGCGCGTGCACACGCACGCACACGTTGGGAACAACCAGAGCCAAACCTCTTCATTCCTCGGCCGTGCAACACAGAAGGAACTCTGTTTCCCCGGTAGAGACACGTCACTTCAAAGAGCCGCCACCGCATGCTTCCATAGCAACACCCTTCAGCAGCGCAGACACAACCCGGTAGCTGAGAGATAGTGTTGGCAGACAAATGGTATAAACATTATAATAACCAGGCGCTAGCTGATGACTGATGGACTAATTCACCTCCGTCATCATCTGGAGGTCAAGAACTAAGTTCACTTACAGAGCTGAAAAACCCAGAGGGTGGTGACTACATCTGTCTTTTAAGAAGGAGAACTTTCTGGTGGTCTTTGTAACAGCCAGCAGACACGCATTTCTGGCTTTTGAATGCGTTTAAAAAAATAAAACCGTTTTATTTTCATAAGCTGCATATTTCATTGATAAACAGGCGATAAAAACATGAGAAAAAATGTCTCTGAATTGTGACAACAAAAAAAACCTGATTTAGAATTTAAAATTCAGTTGTGAATGACGACGTCGACTTTCCACTTTGTTTTAGAGTCGCGGTCTATCTATAAGCTTCTGTAGTTTCGCATCAGAGGAAGTGAGTGAAGATGTTCAGTCTGTGTTGGCAACAATTCCAAAGATTGAGCATTTAAAATCAGAGCAAGACAAATGTTTGAGACATTTTATTGCTGGTAAATGTATCGGATCTCATCGAGTCGAGGCTTGACATACGCTACGGCCAAACATTAGCAATTAGGTAAAATCAACAGTCCACACCTCCTTGGAGGAAATATTTCTGATTTCTCCAATCAGAAACGATTGAAGTCGGACAAACTCCGGCGTGCATCTGGACCTAACGTGGACTCGGCATTTTGCTGATCTCGTGATCTTTTTAGCATTCCATCAAATGCATTTTCAATTCAGTGAATCTATATTTGGCCTAATTTGCTAAACTGAAACAACAACGGAAGAGTTGAAGGCTTTACCTTCCCCCTCTCTCTGTAGAGTCAGCAGCTTCCAAAGAGACCTACAAGGGTAAGAAGGGAGGAGAGTGTGTGAGCAGAAGGAGGAATACAGAGGGATACAGTTACTGCCCCTGAACGACTTTTGCTCTCTCATTTTGGGTACCGGAGTCTTAAGGAGCCCCTAGCCACTTTCTTGGCCTTATATAGTGCCTTTCGAAATTTCTTGGCAGTTGACGGGAGGATCCAAAGCCAGCAGTAAAACGAGTGCATCCTGGTCCAGTCCAGAGGCTGAGCAGACAAGCCCGCATTCACGCAGACTCAAGTTCAGTAGCTCTACTGGCACGCGTTTGGGATTACTGCTGTTGTTTGGAGTAAGGGGGAGAAGGAGGAGGACGGTCTCTGCATTACAGTACTCGCTTTCTTGCCTTGACTCTCTTAGAAGGGGCGTGAAGGCAGGGGGTATGTAAAAGTAGCAGCAAGGCAGAGCGGGACGGCGTACAGGCAGGCAGGTAAGCGCGTTTTTGGAATGCGTTATCAGCTTTGACCGAAGATTTTCTGTGGGTTTCTTATATAGAACAGGTAAAATGGGTGGGTAAGCTGTACGGCATCAACCACGAGATGGTGTACAACTCCAGCAGAAGCTTCCCTTGTTTTCTTCGGGGTGTTTTGAATGTGGGCTGCTCTGACTCAGCCATGGGAAAGTTTCTCCCGTGGGAACGAGGCAGGCTGAGTTCACAGGCCGGGGGGGGGAGCCTTTCGTGACCTGACGAGCGGTGATTTGTGGCAGCGGACTCAGCAAGAGACTGGGAGCAACTGGTCAACACAGCAGGCAAACATGTGTTTTCCCTTCTCCCGGGAAAATCGGCTGTAGCATCGCTGAGGAGGAATTTCATTCCCACTCTTTTCCTTCACATCTCTTCTTGTGCTGCTTCTCTCATTTGAGAGAGGATGCTGGCAGTCCAGTCACCTTTGACCTCAATCTAATAAAGGCATGGCAATAAAATATGATTGATTTCACTGAAAGGGCCAAAAGTTGAGAGAGAAATGGTTGTAGCGCTAATCCTATCCTAAGTCTTTGGCCAATGTTTTTTACTTAACCTCATCCTGATGCTGCACTTTTTCATTTGCCAAATCTCAAGGGCATTTGTTGCTTCACTTTAACTCTCCCAGAGATTTATGCCTTAACAGTTCCCTGCAACGACTGAATAGCTTCAGAAAAAGTGAAACATTAACAAAATTCGGTTAAAACTGCAAGCTCCCCTGGCTCGCAAAATAAATGCTGAAAAACTGTTATATAAGCATTTATGCTTAACCGCTGATTCACATCTGTCAATAAGTGAAGAATAGTGAGTTTTTCTTCTGTAACTTAACATGTTCTGGTATATTTTTCTCTGAGGCGGTCAGATCAAACATGAAAGTACACATCAGGTTCTCAGCTCTTGTCGTTTTATTGAGCTTTTTTGTAGCTTTGATGTTGGCTTGGAGTCGTTTCCCCTTCCTTCACCGTGTAATTAGCGGTCAGGCGAGAAATGGCATCCTGCCGTCGTCCCTAATTAAACCGGAACTGATGGGCTGTCCGGGACATGCCGATCAGCGCCTTCCAGTAATGACCAAAACATGCGCCAGTCCACAGAAGCCCGGCTGTGAAAAGTTTGACAAATTTGCAGACGTTTTTATTTCCCCACAAAGGAAACGGGAATCAGGTAGATTTCTGTCAGCTTGGTGCCAAATACTAGAAATCTCCCATGACTGAATTCCAGATCAAATGTCCTATGATTATATGCAGTCATGTTCATCTTGCATGAAATTTCAAGGCAGCCGTTCAGATTTGGTGGTTTTCAACCTGCATCCAAAGTGAGCCACAATCACACATCTGATGTTCATCATTTCCCTGTTTATTGGTGTGTTTTGTCGTCTATTCTAGTGATTTAAGCTGTAACCAGCGGTAAAACAGCCAAGCCACAGCCTGCTCAGCTCTCACTTGGTGATCAAATAGCTGCCTTCTCCACGATCCACAGCTTTTGGCCTCTAGCGTGTCCACTACAGAAAGCCGCACTCGGCTCTCAAACCAAACAATGGCATGTCGGTTTGGAGGTGGAACAGTGTCAGTGCCGAGCTTGCCGGCCTTCATAATAGCTGCACCACCATGGCAATTGGCTGCGATGAATCACGTCGTAAATAGCTGCCTGTAAGTCGTGGCGAAGTTTGTCTGAACCATTTAGAGGAGACGCGAACGCTGCTTGTCACCAATTTCCATGCTTGCTTATGGAGTGTTAGCCATGTGGTAGTCATTTAGTTCTCGTTTTAAAAACAAATCTGTGTTGGTGACATCCAAGAGTCTGGCAATGGGTTTGGGAAACAGACAACTTTGAAGAATGAAAGCAGCCAAAGAGTGTTAGACCATGACCACAGGAATGAGTGGACCACCTCTGCAGCACCTGGTATGTCTAAATGTGTGAGGATTTGTGAGAAATGACATATGTAATGGCATATATATTTTTAACAAAAGTAAAAATCTTTTTTGCTTCTTTTTGGTTAGTGGGCCTACTGTCTAGTGGTGGGCAAACTCGTGCTTATGCGCTAATGGCAGAAAAAAAAACATTTTTTGCAAGCTTTTTTTTATTTCACTATTATATCTGTGACTGTTGACACTCCATGTATGGCCTTCATCAAGGCCATTAGCGATGGTCATTCATACTTTTTACCAGTTTTTCATGCACCTGGTGTTTTGGTCTTCTGTTCCTGGTTTTAAATTCTCGGAAGAACGTTTGACAGCTAACATTTCAAATTCATTTGATATCATTTAGTCTTAGCACACTGAGTAATGTTTGTTTGATCAAATCAGACTCAAAGTTGTGTTGTGGGCTTTGCGTTGACTAAAGTTATACGGTACTGAGTTGAAGTTGTAGTGGTGGAGGAAAATATGCTCTTCAAACACATTCATGAAGAGACTCATTTTCAGACACATCCTAAAGAAAAATTCTCAAACAAGCGAAAAGTAGTGTTTGGTTAGTCTTTTGAATTATGATGTAGGCCTCGAAACAAAAACAGGTGACATTTATGCCCACAATTGAACTTCTTACTGGTCTAAATTTCCTGATCAATCATCTAAAACAGGGACAATTATGGAGAAAATATATGCATTTATACAAACAACCAGTGTATTTATTGCACAGTCATTAGATAATGTTAGTAGACACTGAACACTAGTTATATCAACCAAGCAGACGTAACAAAAAGTCATATTTTTTACTTTAAATTACACTAAATAGTTAGTGCAATCATTCATTTTCGAAACTTCCTCTTTTGAGATAGTTCTATCTGCATTAATTGAGTATTTTGCTCCTAGGTGGAGGAAGATCAAATCTATAAGCAATCACTGAATCGGCCTTTTTCCGTAACAACATCTCAAACGTATTGCATGTTTGACATTGTGTCGAGACGGAAAAGAACACCCTCTCCGCCAAATTTGCCTCCAAATAAAATAGAAACCCAGTCAATGTATAAAGACCCGGTTGAGCTTCAGTCCTTATTTGGCCCCGAAGTTTAGAAAGAGAAGAATTTTCTTCCTTGGGCTCGCCGCCATCGGTGTGGTAGCAGCTCTTGTGTGGGCAGAAAGGAGCGCCTGAGGAATTCTCAGTGCGGTCGGACCAACGGCGGGCTTATTTAGTGGAACCCGTGGGATGATTTATGCACGGTGGCAAACCCATGCTTTCTCCCATCAGCTAGGGTCATGTCGATGTGCTGAGATCACAGTGACAGTTGAGCTAGCAGGTCAAGAGGGCAAGAAGTGTCTTGGAAAGTCACAGCTTTGGAGTCAAAACCTAAATGTTCGGTAGAAAAGCTCTAAAGTAGAAAGAATCTCACCTGAGTGACTTGACCTTTAGCGTTGAACAATGACCGGCCTTAACTCTCCTCTGTTTGGCCCCTAATGGGGCCTCTTATCCAGTCAAGGATTCCAGAAGCCCCCCTTGGGTCTTTCCTTTGACCTCTTGTTTTATTCCTTCTCAGATGCCCCTTGTGGCCCAATGAGAGTATAAGCTCACTTTTCAAGTTTCTGTGACTTGTTTGTGGTCTGCTAGTCACTATGCACTCCTGACTGGCTGGGAAGTAATTTTGGAAAGTCCTCACAGTCCTTAAAGTGACAGAGTTTAGTGTTCCGTCTGCTCAGGTTATGACTTGACTTCTTTATATTTATACCAAACCTAACCTCTGTAATGGTGTCCAGATCATTCAGTTTTACTTTTAACTGTCCAAGAAATTCTATTCCAGTCTGCTTTTCCTCTTGCAAACTGTAGCCTGAAAGCCTCAAATAAAATTATTTTAGTGCTGGACCTTTGATATAGTCTGTCTGGATACTCAGTAGTCTTGGGAACTCTCTTTTGCTCTCTTCTCTTTGATTTCTTTCAAAGGTTTTCTCCACAGTTTAGACCAGGTCTTACATCCTCAGGAAGAGACAGACCCACAGCATCACAGATCACCCACCATACTCAGCAGTGGACATAAATTGCTTTTTTGTACATCCAGCAGTTGTTTCAGGTCAGACCCTCCCTTTTATCTCCATCACCTTCTCGTACTGTTTCGGATATTTGTTCCTTTAGAGCAAGCCGCACACCAACGACGACTTGTCGACCGACTCCTTAAGTTTCACAAATCTCATGCTATGGGCGTGATTGCGTCTTATCCAGCTACTAGTACTGTTGATAACTTTGATTGCAAAGTCAATGAGCTCTTTGTTTTCCCACAGTAAATAATTACGGCAGCTTCCTTCCCGGCCGAGCCTGCTATCAGTTGATAGCGCGCTCTCATCCCTGTGGTTGTTAATAGCCGCCAGCTCACAGCATGTCGGGATACCAGGTGTTATCGGCTCCCACTCAACTCTGTTTCCCTTATGAACTTCCCCTGTGCGTGTTTATCTGTACACACTTAAGTAAATACAATCCGATGTTAGCTATAAGTTTCCATAGAATACTTGTTTGTGCTCTATAATCAGTGATTTGAGGCACAGGGGGAGATCCAGACTATTGGGAGCCACTGACTTGCCGTGGGTAATGTAAGAAAACTTTTCTGACATCCAAATGGGCCGGTGATGGCCAGGCTGCTATTAAAAGATTCGTCATGTTGCATTGCAACATCAGGAAATCAACACCCTGCGAGCTTAGAGGTGACAGTAAAATTAGGGTACAACTGATACTTTTCCTAGCAACAGGAACTGGCTTGTGATTTCACACGGTAGTGCATTTGCGTGTGAGTGAGTGCGTGCGTGTGTGTGTCATTTAGTCTCATTTGCTGGGAGGCCTGCACTGCTGTTTACAGAAAACTTGCTATGCAGCAAAAAACAGCAGAGAAAGGACAGTGGTTGCAAAAAAGAGAGCAAAACATACAAGAGTACACCACAAAAAGAGCAGCTGTTGGAGACGGATGCAGACCAGGGGCACCAAGAAAGGCTTTGCTTTAAAAATGTTTTTGTGTTTGGTATTTAAGCTTTAAGTCTTCACATACTCTGTCCTGTTGGCTACTAATCAGCAGTGTTAAAGTTATGACTCTAACTCTTATAATTATTTCCCAGATCATTTTCCACATGACAGAAATCAATAATAAAAAGAGGTCATAACTAATCCTAATTTTGTCGCACAAGGGTTTTAAACTCTTACCTTACCGCCCTAGCAAATTAGCTGGCTAGCTAGTGCTAGCTTGTACAATGAACACAGTAGAAGTGGAAACACACTCAAAACCACCATTTTTGTGTATTGCATGTGCGATACTGCATGGGTCGGGTGTGCTTTATATATTTTTTTGTGAGGTACTGACATACATACTAACAGACAGATGATATTTTACCAAGCAACCAGTAGAGTACCATGTACCCAACACCTTCATTCCACCTTTCTTTGTTTTTTTTTGTCATGTTTGAGATCAGTCTTTCACTGACAGGAAGGGCTTCCTGCCTGCCAGTTGAACTCACTCCCACTTTCCGCTGGACTCAAAATTTGTTGCGGACAGCAAAGTGTTTTGACAAGAACCTTAATTGTGGAGTACCACAGGGTTCAGTGCTTAGGCCAATTCTTTTTACTGTACATGTTTCCAGATGGCATGGGATTATGGTACTCGACTATATCAAATCCATAAGTCCCAATGTCTTGAAGAAATAAAAGCCTGGGTGAATCAGAAATATTCTGCATTTAATTCTGAGACAGGAGCTGTCGTCTTGGGATTAGACTGTGTTTTTTTTTAAGTGAAATTGAATTAATCGCATTAATGTTGACAGCCCTAAATTGGTTGCAACTTTTTTTTATCTTCATGTGGTGACTTTCTATGCTGCAACGTAAGGGTGGCTTACACAAGAAGGTTAGGTTTTAGCTACTATCTTGCTTACTGTTTCTCCCTTTTGCCTGTAGCTAACGTTACTCACTTTAGCTACAGGTTCTCTGTTCATGAAGGCTTTTCCGTATCCAAAACATTACCTGCTTCCATTTGGGTGTGGAAAAAAAAAAGAAATTTTTTTTCCATATTAAAAAACATTAAGCCAACATAATAATTAGTACTCAACAGATTGAAGCAACAAAGTGTTGCTGTCGTGTTGAGCTTATGTTTTCACTGCTTGCTGTTTCTGTGACTTGACTTTACGCGCCTGCTCTTCTCGCTCATCAGCTATCTTTTTGTCTTCAGGTCACTACATCATGTCAGACTGCGACCAGCTGTGAGCCGGTGAGTACGAACCCGGAGGTCTTTGAGGAAATGTTCAGACAGTTGCTGGCCTCAAAATTGTAGCTCAAATGGGTCAAAGGTCGGCATCTATAAGCATGAGCGCTTCTTCCTGTCTGCTCAGACTGAAGCGGACAAAGTATGTTCAGCTTCAGAGGTGATAAAAGTGGTCGGGATGTGGGCAGAGATGAATATGAAGAAAAAAAATGAATGAAAAACACAATTATATAAGTCATATATAAAACTTATATATAAATAAGACAATAAAGACAAAGTTCATAACTAATCTACGATGAATTTAGTCCACCAATTATAACAAAAACCTTCATATTTGAGAGAGTGGAGGCTTTTAAAACTGGTCGCATGGGTAGATGCTCAGGGCGGCAATAGAGGGGGGCAAACTCTTCTCTGAAGAGACACATCCTCATCAGTTCCAAGTGTCTGAAGGAACTCCAACCCCAAGCTGCAGGAGGTGGAAGATAAGCAATTTTATGTCTTTTTTTTTTTTTTTTTTTTTTACCGTTTCCAAAGGGTTGCAGAAAATGATTTATGCTCCGTGGCGCAAAGACTCAACTCATTTTCATTTTAATGAGCTTGAAATTGAAGTTTTCCTTCTCTTCCATGAAAAATGTGAGCTCAGCAAAATGTTGGACGGTGATCGGAGGACCGGCAGATTCATCAGTCTTCCGATTTCTAAGCTTTCAGCATGAAAAGTTGTGTTTTTGTTCTCCGTCTTTAACATTGGCGAGGAATTGGATGACCAAAGTAGAAGTTCAACCTTTTGAGTCTTTTATTCCAATTTCTGCTTTTCTGTTTTGCCCTGAACTTGTTGTTTGTTCCTTGTGGTGAAAAAAGGTCAGTGATTTGCTCACCCTTCCTCTGTCTCTGCAGCCTCCGACTCCACAGCTGCCGCTAAAGCATGTAGATACACCGGTAAGTCGTTTCATTCATTAACGCTGCTACTGTTTCAGATCTGTCCAAATATTTAATAAATACTCATTTCCGACACGATCCGAGGTGTTTTCCTGACCCTTGTTGTGCTGCTAATGTGGAAGGAAAACTGTTTATGTAAAGCAGAAGGCAGAAAAAACACAGAACATGTGTTGAAACACAATTTTCTTCCCTTTAGTTTCTCCAGAGTAGAGCAAACAGACATGAAAGCGCCACTGATGTCTCACATCCCTCGCCTTCTCTGCCTTTGTTTCTTACGAGTCAGCGTTTGTGTCAGATGTTTCCCGAATAATTAGATCAGCGATGACTCAGAGCAGCAATGTAAACACAGATGGTTCCCTTTGTTCACCAGCTTTTATAGAAACTCACACAAAACTCTGCAGAATAATAATAATAATAATAATAAAAAGACTCAGTAATTATTATCTTTCTTGCATCCTCAGCAACAGAAATTTACAAATTTCATTTTCTCTCAAATAGAAGCTCAGATTGATTTGGATATTTCCTCCTGGGGGTATTGGTGCGTCTGTGGAGAAGGTGGAGGTTTTCTTGGGTTCATTTCAGCAGGATGTGTTCATGGTGGTTTGGTGCTGAAACGGCCCGCTGTGACCATGGCGGCTCCGCTGAGGCCAGATGAGCCAGACTCTTAATTCCAGACGCCGCGGACCAAAACGAAGCTCGTCAGACGGGGGGAAAACATTGGGTCGCTGGTTTTTCCGCTCGCATTCTCGGCATTCTTCATCAGTTTCTCCACACTGAGGAGCAACTCGGATGGAATATGGAGTTGGAGGGGAATGTCTCCAGAAAGGGAGGGAGGAAAAGTTCAAATAAATGCAAAACGAAGACAGAGAAGGCAGGAGACAGAAAGCAACATGATGTATCAAATTATCACTTATCAAGACTGGCTGAAAGCAGTGGCAGTTCTGGCATGCATGAGGCCCTCAGCTTCCAGGACCCGCCCCTTTCCAAGTTGGACCCATGTTAAGATCAAGAAAGGGCCGAAACCTTCTGATAAAAGAACCACAGAAACATGAGGAATCTGTAGACTTTCTATGACTGTGGTTTTGCGAAAGACTGGAGAGTTAAAAACTGCTTTGATTTTATTCATACAATATTATTTAAACACATTATTGTCATATTAAAGGCCTCCACAGAAATATCTACGGTGGGCCAGATTTAGGGCCTCGAGTTTGACACATGTGGCTTACATAGATAGATTAATAGACAGATTTGGTTGGTTGGACTGATGGATGGATGGTGACTCCATTTTTGAAGATGGCGCAATGGCCTAGTCAAAGTCAGGACTCAAATATTTTGAGCAATGCAGCTCTGATACTTCTGATGCCTGTTTTTTCTCTATTTATTGTAGTTCACTTAAAATCTATGAGCTTGTGTTCATGGCATTTATACAATGTTTGTATAGAGTGTTAAACTGAAAAAGAAATGATATAGTTATTATTGAACATATTTTCTAAATTGTTCAAATTTCAGGGATTTTTCACTTTTCTCAGCTGGGTGTTTCATTTGCTTTTATAATTTTTTTTTTCAAAATAATTTTCTCCAACTTTACACTTCATGCTTAATATTTCTGAGACTTCATGTTTTTATGAGTCTTTGTTCCTTTTTCACTGTTTCTTAACTCGTCCCTCTTAAACTACGGCAAGCTGTTAGTACATATAATCATCAGGTGACGTGACACGATGTTTGCAGATGAATCTTTTCTCTTCGGTCCTTCTGTTTCTCTTAGGGATCGACGAGGTCCTGCAAAAGTGTGGAGATTCGGAGAAAGCAGTCAGGGTGAATGTTCTATTTTCACTTTGTCCAACATATTCCAGCTCCTGCTTCAAACAATTTTTCAACGTTTAATAATTAGCTGCACTTTTTGTACTATTTGTAGAGTAGGCTTTGTGTTTGTCTTCAGGAAATTAGAACAAAATTTGAGTTTAGATTTGATCAAGTTGGATGTTTGTCATCCGTTCCCAAGAGGAATGGAGGACTTTCCTCAAAGATGTGGCAGCAACTGTGAAAAACTCTGTGTGTCTCTGCTGCACAGCGTGCTTCAGGCCATGGAGGAGAGCTATGAGGTGGACCTGGTCTACATCACCGAGAGGATCATCTCCCTCTCCTTCCCCGCCGCCGCCGACGAGCGCAGCTACACCAACAACCTCAAAGAGGTGGCCTCCATGCTGCGGTCCAAGCACGGCGCGCACTACCTGGTGAGACAAGTCCGGGCGCAGAACCCGCTCCCCGGCGAGCCGAGCCACTTTAATGTGTCGTTCTTCTCTCGTTTACCTCAGGTGCTCAACCTGAGCGAGCAGCGGAACGACTTAACCAACTTAAACCACAAGGTATGAACGCGGTTTGGTGGAAGCAGAGGCCGCGCGTATGAGAGGAGTGAAGCGAAACATGGAAAGCGAAATGGGCTCGCGCTTTCTGATCATTTTTCTGATTGATCCGGCTCAGGTTCTGGAGTTCGGCTGGCCGGATCATCACGCTCCGGCGCTGGACAAGATCTGCAGCCTGTGCAAAGCCATGGACACGTGGCTGAGCGGAGACCAGCGCAACGTGGTGCTGCTGCACAACAAGGTGAACAGACACTTAGGATAGGAAGAAAGATCTGTAAAAACTTCTTATGAGTTTTTATACTAATAAAAGATTCTGAATGCATATTTAAGCCATAAAAATATGTATAAATTGAGATATATTTATGAATTTATTATATCATTACATATCCCATTAGAACTCATTTTACTGAAATTACATGAACTCCAGATGTTTTTTTTCCCTTGAAAAATATGTTTTGTCAAAAATCAATAAGTAATTAAAACAATTAATTTGTTTTAAACCATTTTTGAAATCTGAATAAACTTCAGTTTTAGACCAGCTACACTTTAAAAAAGTTTTTTTGTTGTTTTATTAGCTAAATGTCAATTATCTTATTGCTTTCTAAGATGATTTGGGAAATGGCATTGATGGCTTCTGATTGGCTGATTGTAGACATCAGACAGAAATGGATGTACTTTCAGTCAACACCTCAAAACACTGCTTCCTGCCTGGTGTGACATCATAAAAACAATTGTCCTTGAATGCATCATCAAGCTTCCTGCCGAGCCCAGTTTTTACATTGCCGATTTAAAAATTTTTTTTTTAGGAACAAACTCTTCTCACTGTCGCACCTTTAACACTACCCAAGGACTTTATACACCAAATCGTAGATATTTCCCTTTACTTTCAGTCGGTGAGTCTGGATTCGTTGTAATATTTATAGTTTTCCTCCAAGTCCCCTCAGAGTGCAGGAAACTCTCACGCTCTCCGTCATTTACGTTCGTCGTGATCCTTCTCTGAACTTTCAGGAAGTTGTTTTAGTGTTTTCCAACATGAACTTCACTTTAACTCTGTCTTCTTGGGTGTCCTACGGTTTTGCAGGGGAATCGAGGTCGAACAGGCGTAGTGGTGGCTGCATATATGCATTACAGCAACATATCTGCAAGGTATGCATCATGTTATTGCACTTGTTTTATTTTCTAAGCTTCTGTGTGAAGTTCACAATGCGACGGTAGAAGATTTGAGGCTGTCGCTTTTCCAAAAACTGTCTTTGGAGTACTTTGATCTTAAAACCCCCCATTTTTTAGGGTGACGCGAGGACAGGAGTAACAATCCATCAAACGAAGGCCTTGAATATTAAACACCGACGTGATATTTTAGCTTAGCAGTCTGTTCTCGCTAGTTTATTTTCCTGGCATTGCAAGGGAAAAATGTCATCCATGTTTAATAGAACCAGATGTTATAAAATGGGCGCCAGCCACAGGGTATATTTTTATAAAGTTGTGAAAAGAGTTTTGCTTGTCTTATAGAAAAAAGGGGACGATTTTGAATTGAAATCTAGAATAATGACGTGTGTGATTTCATGCCATGCAGCGCTGACCAGGCGCTCGACAGGTTTGCCATGAAGCGATTCTACGAGGACAAAGCTCTTTCTGTCGGTCAGCCGTCACAGAGAAGGTAAATGATTAACTCCCTTTATTTTCTATAACTGCTTTTTATTATTAATTCCACTGAAGAGTTAACTTGAAGACACCCTTAGATCATCAAAATGAGACATCCTGCAAATCCTTCTTTTTTTTTTTTTTGTTTGTTTCACTGTAGACAAATTATCTCACTACTTTTTGCACTTTTTAAAATTTATTTAAATCCTCAACAAAATGTTGCTTTTATACCAAGATGACCTGAGTAAATGTGTTTTTCAAAGTTAGCAAAAATGCTAAAGCGTTAAATGAAAAATTGGTGCCACTATCAGCGCATTAGCACCATTAACCTCTAACGGAGAGAGAACACAGAACAGTGGGGAGCCTGGCCAGGAGTGATCAAGCTACAAAAAAAAAAAAAAACTTTTCTGGAAGAGAGCATTGAATTTGCTTGATGATCCGTCGACATCTAAATTGCATCTTTATTTCACTGATATTTTGGGTAAAAGTAAGTGACCATCATAGTGTAGCTGCGGCTCCTTCGTTTTTTGTCGCGCTGTTTCTCGTGACATCTCGGGTCAGGCTAATTGAACTGCCCAGAAACCAAAACATCTGGTCACTGACAGGAGGACAAGGAGGATGAGCGTCCACGGAGACCTGGAGGTCAAGGTCGCCTTTGGTACGATCATTATTAGCATCGTGAACAACCAGACTATACTAACTCAACAGACACCTAGCAGCCCTCCGTACAACATCTGTCTATTCCATCGGATGCTAAAGAGAATAAAGCAACGTCATACCGAGACTGAAATTGGGTTAGAATTTAAAAGGTAATTCAACTGGAATATAGAAAATTGGTCTCTTCATGTTGGTCTCTTAACTGACCCCATTTTAAACAAGCACCTACTGCGAATGGAGACAGGGGAGCTGATTGGAGCTTTGGGGCAGACTGAGGATGCCCATGGTATGTCTGCAGGTATGTGCAGTACTTCAATGGGCTCCTGTCTGGACACATCAAGATCAACAACAAGCCACTCTTCCTGCATCACGTCATCATGCATGGCATCCCCAACTTTGAATCCAAAGGCGGTGAGTTTCCCAGTCGAAGGTCTGCAGGAGAGACGCAGCTCGTCACCACGTCTCATTCGTCTCGCTGCCGTTTCTCGACAGGATGCCGGCCGTTCCTGAAGATCTACCAGGCAATGCAGCCAGTCTACACATCCGGAATCTAGTATGGACATTTTTCTTCCAGTTCAGTGTGGTTTGGCTTTGAGTCTGCAGAGAAACTAACACTTGGCGGGATGCCCAACTGATAGAGCTTTACTGTCTTTGGTTTTGGCAGCAATGTGCAGGGAGACAGCAACACCAGTATCTGCATCACCATAGAACCTGGGCTGCTTCTGAAAGGAGACATCCTGGTAGGACTGCGATCTTTTCATACTTATATTGTTATGTTCCATATGTTGTAATAATTCATATTCTGTTCTTCGTAGCTGAAGTGTTACCATAAGAGGTACAGGAACCCGACCAGAGACGTGGTGTTCAGGGTCCAGTTCCACACTTGTGCCATCCACGACCTTGGGGTCGTTTTTGGGAAGTCGGAGCTTGATGAGACCTTCAAAGGTGTTATTATCTGTTATTAGTAGTGAAATTATATGCATGAGTCATAAAATACTTTATCGTTGCATGTTAAAAAAAAGACACTTGGGCATAAAGATCAAAGTCAATGGCTTAATTTTGTCTGACTGCAGGAGATAGGTTGCCTCGAGTTTCATAATCAACAGTGCCCTCTTCTGGTCAAACAGCACTATTGAAAAGCTAATTGTTCCATAAAGTGTAACTGATTTTATTTTACTTTATAATTTTCATTAAAATTTTGAAATGCTATTTATTTCTGCATGATAAAAATTCTTCCAAATTTGTTTGAAATTAATTATTAAGATATATATATATTTTTAAATTCTATCTCAAATTTGACATTTTCATCTTACATTTTCAAATAAAATAATTGAGATATGCAATTTTAATAAAATTTGAGCTATTTTGAGATATTGATATGATTATTGTCTGTAATAAACAACAGTTTCAAATTAAGATAACATTAGCAAAGCTTTGAAATTTTACTCCTAATTGTTTTTAGGACAAAATAAAAATAAGGATCTTATGAAAACACACGTTTACGATTTATTAGGATTTAAATGTTTTGCATTTTAATGGAACCAAGCAAAATACTATCCTTTCAAAATAAAGAGATCATAAAAAGAATGATGAAAAGAAAGACGCATGCTGCCTTCTGCTGTGTGTTCGTACAGATGAAAGGTTTCCAGAGTACGGGAAGGTGGAGTTTGTTTTCTCCTACGGACCAGAAAAAATCCGAGGTACTCCATTTTTCTAGCCACTTTGAATGCCTCGTTTACCCATCAGGAGACGGTTCAACCGAACGTGCTTTTTAACTTTCGTACGCCAGGTCTGGACCACTTGGAGAACGGGCCAAGTGTGTCTGTGGACTACAACACCCAGGACCCCCTGATCCGCTGGGACTCGTACGAGAGCTTCAGCCATCCCAGTGAGGACGCAGTGGACACTGAGAACGGTATGTCCTCACACTCCTTACGTGGACATTTTCTCTCTCAGAAAGTCCTCAGCTTTATAATTCAAGTTAATTATTCACTTCCATAAGATAAAAGATTATGTATATGTTTTAGCAAATACTTCAAACCAAAAGTTTGTCAATTCAGAATAAGGCCTGAATGCTTCTTTCAGCCCCCAATGAAGGGACTACATGTGTTCTTAAGACGAAAACCAAATTATTCTTATTAGAATTAAAACTGAAACGAAGCAACAGAAGCCAGCTCCAGATTTTTGTTGCCTGTGAAGCTCCACACCCCCTGCTTGTCCTCCTCTGTCCTGTCATTGAGTTCTTTAAATAGCCACTGCAGAAATAGGGGGGCGTCAGTCACCCTGCAACAAGCTAAACCCCCCCGCCCGGATGGGGGGACCGTTGTAAACTGAAACACCTACTCGGATCAGCTCCAACGAGGTGCTGAGCTCACGGCTAATGTTTCCGTCGGGAGTTTGAGAATTTAAATAGAAGCTAAATATGTCGGAGAAAAAGCTGATGATATACCTGGAAGCTCCATGCAGCTCTGAGTTCTGCAAGTTCTTCATCAACAGAGCCCTCTAGTGGCAAACCTCATGCACAACGGAATAGAATAGAAATATGCTTCATCTGATGATCTCACCAGGTCCCTGGGCTCCTTTCAGTGATGATGAGCTCCATGATCACGGCCATAAAAACCGGCTCAGACAGGAGGACTGGTGAGCCTCAGCAGAGCCATACTTGGCAGCCTTTCCCAACCTTCCTGTACCACGTTCCCCTTCTTCATGAAGGCGCTATTTGTTTCGTTTTCAGCAGCTTTCAAAGAGCCATTTCATTTTTATGCCCGCCCCCCGGGGAGCCGTTGAGGTTGCTTCTATGTTGCAAAGAAGGTCAATGGGAATTGTCAGGATTCCCAGTTCGGGCCCAGCAGAGGGGGCTGCAGCGTTCTCAGAAATAACTAAACTCTTCATCCGTTTAGTTATTTCTCTACTTGGGTTTTTTTTTTTTTAGCTATGCCGGGCTAACGAACAGAGAGACCTATTTTTACAAGCTACCGCTCAGAGGACAGCTATCAGGCTTCACTTGCAGAATCCAGACCTGTTTATTTGTGCAGGTGCTAAATGTACGCTTCATCCCTGAGTGGTTCTGTATGAATGGATCCCTGAAAGATGAGGAACATCAGCGTGTCTGCATGGTCGGAGAGCAGAACCTCTCAACTCAGTGGACTTTCCAGGGTTACATTATAACTGCTGTTGAATTTTCAGGAGAAATTGCTCATTTTTCTCTTTTTTTTTCATGTTAGCATTAGCACTAGCATTTCTAACCTCTAAGAGTCAGAGTGGTTTCTAAAGCGCAGAGTTTTTGTCTGGTTATAGATCTCCTCTGTTTTATCACATTTTGATGTATCAGCTCATCGAGCTAATCAAAATCCCAAAAGGCAGTTTTAGAAATATTATTTTAGTTATTAGGGTAAATAACTTGAATCTTCCAGAGTGACCAATTTTAAAGAATTCCAAGGCAGTGTTGGAAAAAACGATCTTTTATAGTGAATAAATCGAATCACTTATCTTTCGCTGTGATTTTCTGTTGAAGTTTGTGCGCATGCAACACAGTTTGTGTGTTTCCATCGCTTCATAGGCAGTTCTGTAGTTTGGCAGCAGCTGCCAGCCTGCAGGTCAGCGGGGTCAGAAGGCCACTGCTTGCGCCTCGGAGGGGCTTGTTTACTACCAACACCAGCAAATCGGCTTCGAAACAGACAAACTGGGTCATCCTCTGGAAGGAGCACCAGGCTGGTCCTTCCACCGGCTCCCTGCAGCTCAGAGAACAGACTTTAAAATATGTAAATCTGTTGGTTTATAAATCACTGAACGGCATCCAAATCTGCTGTTGTTGGATCAACCTTCCAGATCTCTCAAATCGAACGGTTCTGCTCTGCATCCAGAACAATCAAACACAGCGAATCGGCACTCAGCTTCAATAAACCACAAACGTCTGGAAAACAGCTGAAACACTGACTTCCTTTAAATCACGGCTAAAGAAACTCTCTCGAGCTGCCATAATTCTAGTCCGCCTTCCAACTTTTTCATGTTCTTCATTTTGCCTCGGTGATGTCATTTTGTTTAATTATGCTCTGTTTTTGTCACACAAAGGAATGTACTGGTAATGGTTAGGGTTATGTGTAAATACAGTTCCAGAATTGAACGGTTGATACAAACTTGTGTGTGTGTGTGTGTGTGTGTGTGTGTGTGTGTGTGTGTGTGTGTGTGTGTGTGTGTGTGTGTGTGTGTGTGTGTGTGTGTGTGTGTAGTGTACAGTAGATCAGTGACGATGCAGGCAGACTGTGCCTCCTTGTTTACTGCCCTCCGCCCATATTTGGCTGGGGCTGAGCCCTCAAACATGTCTGGAATAACTGCCTAGAGACAGACGGAGACAGACAGACAGACAGAGAGGGACGAGGGACAGTGAGGCTCCAAGGGGAAAACAGAACAGTATTCCCAGTTTTTGTGTTGCTAGTGAGGGCTTTTTTTTTTAATGCAATATCAAAGTTTGGGGATATTTTTCAAAAAATACAAGTTGGAGGAAATCATGAAGTGGAGCTGACAGCAGGACTTTCTGGTAAGTGTAACCAAAGTCATATTTTGGAGTTTAATTGGCTGCTGACGTAAACGTGCAATAAACTGGTGTAAAATGAAAAGTCCGATAACATTTTTCTTAAAAACAAAAAGAAATGCTGCATGTCAACTTTCTGCTCCGTCTGGAGCCTGCATGTCTGTTTACCATGTTTCCTTGGCAACGCTGCATCCTGTGTGTTTGGCGTCCATACGGTACCAAATGAGTCATGGAGCAAGCAATTTTGAGTGTGGAACATTTTATGAGCAAGGCTGCAATTTGGGTACGCCAAAACTATTAGAGGCGCTGATTGGTGCGTGCAGAGACCTTGGGCTGCAGGACAGGGAGAGCGACGAGGAGCCGAGTCTGTGAAAGAACGGTGAAAAACCTGAGATGCAGTGCAGGGCGATTGAGTCCATTGCAAGGAAGCAATGCGCCTGCATTTAATCAATAAAGGTCTATTCAGTAAGTTGGGTTTATCCATACGAGCCGAGTCCGTAATGCTTCTAGCTGGACCTCCCGCTGGCAGCATTGGGAGTTCCAGCTGCAGGTTCATATCAACCCCACAAATCCTGCCAACTTCCTCCTTTTCATTACTGCACGTCTGCATCCCGCCGCGCTGCCCTGCTGCCGCTCCGCTTGTCGTTTTGTCCCATGAAGTCGTGTTGGAATGCGTCGGATGTCACGTCTAATAGATACATTTCCATTTTCTGCAACCGTGATAGTTTGTAATGGAAAAATGGAAGGGATTTTTAACGGAACCACTGAGCTATTTTTTATTTTCCTTTTTTTGACAAGGCTTACAATCCACCTAAATTGGCTCTAGTTGTTCAGCAACTGAAATGTGGACGTGTTTTAAGACCTTCTCACAAACAAAAACAGTCTTTAGTATAAGAGCTCAGTTTTACATCCATATGGACACAATTTGCTCTATCTGTAGATATGTGTATAATCAGTTAGGAAATAACTACTTGGCTTATCAGAATCAACAAAAATCTTTCTCTTTCCCATTTTGGAGCGATATGAACAGATCTGGCACGAGTACTTGCTTTAAATGATTAAAGACAACAAATACTTCAGCTGCACAATAAATTAGAAATCTGATTTCTTATTTTTATTTTTTGTTTTTCAGTGTACTTTGTTAAAGGACGATGAAAGGGTCAAATGATGTCCAGACATAGACACAGAAATGAGCATACAGCTGGAACAATGAGTGATGTCTAAATAAGGTTCATGTATTGACTACAGTTACAAATAGTTACATTTAACAAGAAATTGAATTGCTTCTGATGTGTACTTCAGTATTTGTGTCCTAAAAAAATATTTTTTTTTCTGTAAAACGTAAATCCTGTTAGGATAATCAGATTTCTACCTGAAGGAAGCTACATTTGGTGTTTCCTGTAGCTATTTTTACCAGGCTTTTAATACCTAAAGAGGGCAGTAGAAGTCTTTCTCTTGGGGGTAAATTTGGTTCTTCAAAGCTCCCAGAGAATCCGACATGTAGGTAGACAGCGAGCAGATGCAGAGTTTTGACAGGTGACTGATCCTTGTGAGGGAAAGACAGATGAATGGATGGACAGATGCATGTGGGGGGGAAAGTGACTCCAGTTGGGAGCCAGCAGAACCTACAGGGGCAGACATGCAGACCAAATACCCTCATATGATCCCGCTCGGCTCCATTTAATCTTTTGTCATATGCAATAAGTTTCGTGCACATTTTCGCTAAAATTCATTGCGTCTCATGATTTTCTGGGAGTCCAACATGGCTGGAAGTCACAGTTAGTGACAGACGGTCCAGCGGGTAGGTTTTTATCACAGCCACTCATGTGACAGACAGACAGGCGGACGGATGGACAGATGGGTGACATCATCCTGAAAGTAATCTCAGAGACGGACTCAGACAGAGTCGCATCACGTCACTGCATACCGTGACAGCTGGACGGTGACAGACACACTGAGAGGCAGACATTGCAAATATAAAACCGCAGAAGCTGTCCTTGTGCCAGTCACCGATACGGCGGCCATGACACCTTTTTCACTGATGGGCTGTCACCTCATCCTTCACAGGAATGTTTCTTTCTGGCTGCGCCACCAAAAATGAAGATTAAGAGATCATTAGTAGTCTTTTTTTTTTACAATATGGTTTTTTTTTTAAGGTAAAGTCTTAAGGTTACTGAAATCGATTTATGTGTCATGTTTACAGGAATCAACTGGGATATTTCTCAGAACTGAAGTCAACCCAGCGACTCAGTGACATGGCAGCAATAATGGATAATAATGGACAAATATTACGAGAAAAACCCCCCACATTTCTTCCCTTGAACCAAAGAAGCTAGCTAACACATGACTGATTACAATGTGACTCACTAGCACATTAATCATTTTATCAGTCGTTAATGCCTTATTATTATTAGTCATAAACCAAAAAGGCTAGTTAGCACATGGCTAATTACAATGTAACTAATAAGCACATCAACAGAGATGCAGATTAGCAAGCTCTTTTAGTTACCCATTGTAAATCATTACATTTATTTCTTTTTCAGCTACATGAAACTAAAATTACAGCAATTAATTTTTTATTATTTTGTTAACCATTTAGTAAGTGATGCATGGTCAAGTAGCGAATAATAACAATGTGGCAAAAAAAGTATCTGGCTTTTTGGCATAACTACGCCAAAAAGGAAAACTTCAGCTTAAATAACAAAGTTGTTTAAGATCTTACAAAGTTTAATGGTTTATAGATTTTCTGCTGGCCCAATTGATGCCTAAAAAGTAATTTGGCTGAGCTTGTAAAACGTCACAACTCAACAGCGTTGGTAAGCTTTAAAGGGCAAATGGTTTTCTTAGACATACTGGGGGCATATGGGTGTTCATATGCATTTATAAGTGTGCAGGCATGCATGAAATCAAACACCAAATCCTATGAAACAAATATAACTCATGTCCATCCTAACAGAGATTTAAATCAACCACATGGACCCGTTTTGACTTTATATAATTGTTACAAGCACTCCTTTTATTAATTTTTTGGAGGTTTTGTATGTGATGCAAAATTATTGCACCTTCACAAAAAGAGGAAAGCACTTGTCACATGAAAGAATGTAGAACACACACACACAGGTGTGTATGTTAATAAAAACGAGATACTGACAAAGCCATAAGTAAATTATTCTTTTTTTTACCTAAGCAAAATGAATTGTTTTAAGTATTTAAATGTGCACTGCAACATGTAGCTCGCTTCTTTGAATCACAAAGATGCTGTAGACGTTGCACTCATTCGCTAGAAAATGAAGCAAGTTGTTAGCTATTTGTGCTGTGAGTCAACAGATCTAAATTGGGCTGAGCTTCAGTCATTTACTGACATCAGAGGAAAGGTATTTGTACTATTCTAATAGAGCACTGCTTGTTTGTCATTGCATAGAATAGCTGGCAGTAGTGCCATCCGGCTTTACATTTAAAAAATATGGGAGCAGTGATGTGTCGCTGTTCACAAAATAGACAATCTTTTAATTCCCATTACAGTATTCAGATTGGAGATGACTAGTCAGCACCTCACTTTCTATACCAATACCAAATGCGGTAACTTTTATCAAATATTTAATATGTTTTCAAGAGCAATAATTGTCTTAAAATCAACAGATTCCTTTTACTGCTAATATTTTTGTTAATTTAAGAGCCACTGTTGTGTTCCTTGAGCTGCCCAGCCCTAGTTAAGTTGAGTCATTTTTTTTGCCACTTAAAAATAATTTTCTATAAGCAAGAACAAGGACACTACCTCTCCTGCTAAAGGTCAGAAGATGGAAACAGAGCCAAAGAGGTTGGATAGTGGAGAATACACCATGCGATTTTTTTACACATAAATTAAAACGACAAACTTTTGTGCATTGAAAAATATTTTAAATGTAAAGAAAAAAGGCAAGCATTAGATAAGTTGGATTTTATTGACACGTGGTACAGGGAACCCCCAATGGCATTGGCGTAGGGTCCGCAGTTTGTCCGAAACAGCATATCTTCCCGGACGGCTGGGTAATGCTGGATGTGGTTACAGTGGTGGAGTCCCCTCCCCAGCTGCCGGGAACAGTAAGAAATCATCCGAGTGCCAGCTCACCCCTCCTGTCAGCTTCAGTGGTAGAGTTCTACCTCACTCCAGTGGAGCACATGGTAGACGATGTTAGGTTGTGACTCAGGACGCAGGGAGAAAGTCTTGTTCGTCTGAGCCGAATGATCGACTAATGTACAGACTGCCTCAAAATGAGGAAATATTCTTGGATCATACATTGATCTATAAATTCTCCTAGTGCAGGTAAGAAGGATGTTTCTGTTGAGTTTATTACTACGGCATGGGATTGTTGTGATTTTGTTTTTACATTCTAAAAGTACTACTTTGTATAATGAAGGAGTGTTCGTTCTGGCTGTAATTAGTGTATTATGTGGTGGACCAAACCCGACTATTCCTAGAGAAATTGTAATCTAAACCCAGGTTTATACTTTCATAATGTGTTAACATGTAGAGCAACCACAGGGACAAACTGTGTTTACAGTCTCCTCTCGTGCCGCTTATTCTTGTTGCTACTGCATCCAAGAACTTGTTGTTGACATGGGTTTTGAAATAGCTACAGTCCGAGCGATCCACCATCTGTCCCCAGAGGGGGTCACTCAATCTGGAACATCCCACATATGAGCCAGTGTCATTAATATTTTCTGTCACTTTGCAAATGCAACCTGTATTGTTGAAGCCAACTTTGGGTTAGTGTTTAATTATATCAATAGGGTTCTTTATGTTAACAGTGATATGGAATTTCTGATAAACTGAGTTTTATCAAATCTAAGTGAAACATAGATCAAATATATCTTTGGTACTTGCTCTATATTCCCAAGCCAATAACTAGTCAAATGGAGCAGAAAGTAAAACGTTCTCCAAAATGTTTGTAACCAGTTTGACTTGACTAATATATTTTAGCAGCCAGAAGTCAACCTGAGGAAAATTGCTTCTCCTCACCAAGTTCATCTCCAGGCATTCCAGCTGGCACTGTTTAAAATGTTTCCATTTGTAGGGCAGGACCCTAGCTGTTTCATGTTGGTCCCTTTGGGCCTGTGCTGACGCAACATGACAGGACCTTTAGAACTACAAATTGGCTATTAATAGAGCTGAAGAGTTTGTGTTGCTGGTAGAGAGGACACATGCAGAATCTTTGGATTGCAAGCATTGGATGCAAAAGGGTGGCCACTATGCTTCTGGTTAGAGCAAATCATGAATAAAGTTGTACTTGTCCTTGACATCTACTTTTCATTGATTTTCTCCTTTTTGTTCTTTCAGATGTTGGTCATACTCAAGGTCCACTTGATGGAAGTCTTTATGCCCGGGTCCGAAAGAAAGACTCCCTGGAGGGAGTTGTTACCATTAATGGCCTTCCAGTCCGAGAAAACCCCTTGACGAATACAGAGGGCTCATTGCAGCAATCTAACCATCACCTCCAAAAGACTGAGCAGTCCCTTCCAGTGGCAGGCCACACCTCCCTTCCTGCTGTAGATCATACCCTTTCTGTGAGCAGTGACTCAGGCAACTCTACCGCATCAATTAAGACTGATCGCACTGATGAGCACAGCCATTCCCTGCACACAGCTGCAGGTCACAGCAACTCAACAACAGCCCACCCAACACTTAGCCCCCAGGAGAAACGAGAACTAGACCAGCTTCTTAGTGGCCTTGAGCCACAAACTCAGCGCCAGGTTTACTTGTCTACATCTACCAGTCCAGGGGGAGGGGTTCGACACCTGGTTCCTGCGCAAGTGCATGTTAACGGGGGCCATACCAGGATTCTTAGGGCACCCTCAACAGAGGAGCGTGAAACTGATATCCTTGACGACGAGCTTCCTAATAGTCAAGAGGGTAACAGCGTTGATAGCTTGGGTACACTCTCATCTTTAGAGGGTCAGGCAACACCAGCGAGCCTCTACTACCAATCACAGACACCTGTTGGTGGCCAGAACGACGGGCCATACCTTGAGAGAAACGTTCTTGGGGAAAAGTTGAACGAAATGCCAGTACACGGAGTACGAACTCCTACAGCAATGCAGGAGAGATCTGTAGAATCACCATCACTGCAGGTGGGGTACAACAACTACCAAAATGGAGGAGGAATGTACCGTTCACAGTCCTTTGGGAATCAGCCACCCAGTAGCCCTGAGACCAACCCTAAAATGATGCCCAAGGCCCCTGAGAGGAGTACCAGTAGTCGAGAGGCAGTTCAAAGAGGTCTTAATCATTGGCACCAGCATAGTCTTCCAGATGATCCTTTTGGGCCTCCTCCTCAGTCAACCCACAGCCTCCCTCATTTCCCAACCTCTGCATCACAGCGAGACATTGAACAATCCATAGAGGCACTAAACATGCTAATGCTTGATCTAGATCCAATCAACTCACACATGTCTAAGTCCCACAGTGCACCACCTGGAGATAACACCCTCAATTCATCCCAGATACCATTCTCCCAGACCCTGGCTAGGCCATCCTACCAAGGGGATTCTGCCATCCATGGCTACAACAACTTGGGGTCAATGAACAGCACCTCTCATCAGTGGCAACCTGGGAGGGTCCCAGCAGTGCCAAACCAGAGTCCCGTCACGGAGTCTCCAACATATTCACCCCAAAGGTCCAACACTGGTTATCCATACCAGAACACCACACCAACACACACTCCTGAGCCCTACCTCCACACACGCCAAGTAACCCATCACTGTCCCATTGATACTTCTGCTAATCTCAACCAGCAGTCTCCCCAGAAACTAATAAACTCAACAAGCAGAGTTTCACACTCCCCAGACCTACAGGGGCCATCTCCTTACCCAGGATACAGCACCTCTTCTTCTCCTCTTCCTACCCTCACACCCCAACTCAAGGAAATGTCTTCTTCTCCCTTGCCAAGAGAGCAAGATGCAGAGGAGGAGACTCTGAACTTGGAAGGCCTGGTTGCTCACCGCATTGCTGGTAAGGCATTCAGGTTTTATGTTAGTTGTTGAAATGATTAATTCACTACAAATGGAGTGATTTATTTCTAGTGTTTATTTCTGTTAATTTTTATGATTGCAGTATTTACATGATACAACTAAAGGAAAGCCAGAAAATTTAGATTATTCCATAAAAACCATTAAAAAAGGTTTCTTATGACAGAATTCTTTGCGGACCTGTGTTCTGAAACAATGTTTATGTTCTGGGAAACTGAGACATGGGTTTTATTAAGTCTAAACCCTAAGGAATTAAACAAAAAGCACTTAAAATATACAACTTTGTGTGTACTTTGTTTTTGATTGGCATGACTGAAACGCCTTAACTTTCCTATGACATTCTAAAATATGGAGAATTTTACAAATCAGGATTCAGTCTTCCATTTTTTTCTCTTTCCTTCTTGGAGCTTACCTGAGGTGTTTACAATGTACTTACATTGATGTTTTAGTGTATAAGTGTGAGCTTCTCTGTTGTATGATGTTTTTCTTTATGTTTACTTGTAAAAACCATTGATAATCCTAAAAACAGAATATAGGACTAGTGCAGGACTCTGCATTATGTCACTAAAGTGATACAACTGTTACCTGACTGCTTCCAAAGTGCTGACAGAGACTTAAGGAAGACTCACGTTGCGTGTACCAGAACGTGAGCAGTGCAGCTTTCAGCAGTTTGTATTCCAGATCCACGGTGGAGTTCTGTACCGCAGTTCTGACCTGGCCACATAAAATTAGCTCTGCAGCTGAAACGAAGTAAAGCTGGTGACAGCAGAGATGGGAAGAAGAGTAAGAATAGCCAAGCATGCAGGAGCTTCCATTCATTATCCGCATTCAGAATGTTCTTTCATTTAAATAAGCTCTCTGGCGCCTCCTAGTGGAGGAAGGGTTTCCAAGCTTATTTCCATATTTGATTTCTTTCCTTTTTTTTTTTTTTTTGCTTGTTTTGTTTAATCCATCTTCGTGGAAAACCTTTTGCCGTCATTGCATCTTCCTCTGCACCTTCCTCACCCTGCTCTTCCTCCACCTGCTGCTTCCCCTCCATCACCTGATTTTCCTCCCCTGGAACAGAGTACAACGCTCGTATTCGGGGCATCAGTGAAAGCATGACATCCCAACAATCTGACCGCCATCGTTCCTATTCCTTCTCTGGTTTGTCCATTTTTCCCTTACTTTTCATTTTCTCATGTAGTTGATGTATTTTTTCCTGCCTCGCTTATTTATTTTCCCCAATCATGTAATTTGACTTTCAACTCCCTTCTTCTTTTTGCCCAATAAAATTCTAATCAAGAATTTGAGCTTGGTTCTCCCAGAGTGGATTGTCTGCTTGTGGCTTAGCAAATTGCAAAATGTTCTACAAGCTTTTTCTAGAAAGCATGTGCTGAGTTCTGCAGTGAATATCTTGGTGGGTTTCAGGAGTTCGTTCCAGAGGAATGACCCCAGAGGCAACGCAGGAGACAGGCAGGCGCCGGACCACGAGCGAGGGACACTACCAGAGCGGTCATGATAATGTCTCGGCGTCTCATTCGCCGGACTTCACCAACAATCTGGCTCTGAATCCGGGCGGAAGACCCAGAGAGGTACAGTCAGACACCCGATCTTTGGGTTAAGCCCAGCATAGTTCAGCAGAGCAAACTGTAACTGTAAAGTAAAGATAATCTCTTCATGCAGTGTGGACAGAGAAAGTTTTTTTATATATATTATTTTGGCAAAAACATTCGCTCACCTGCGTTTCAGAGGCAGTCATTCGCCACTGTCTCTTAGATGATGTAAGGTTTGGGAATCCATACTGTCTACATATTCTTGAGCTAAACTGAAGGCCACACATCCTTTGTCATCATGCGCTTGATGTTGTTGATGTCATTCCCAATTGAAACCAACAAACAGTTGACTTTGGAGTATAAAGCAGGGATAACAATTCATAAAAGTACTATTTCCATGGAAGTGATTGTAAATCCTGGATTTATGGGATGACATAATGCTTTTGGCAAACTAGTAGACAGTAAACTGCTGCCTATTTGCTGGTTAGTGTTTGGAGATTTTTCTATTTTCGTAGACCACATCTGAAATGATCAAACGTAAATCCAGTACTTGGGAAGCTGGTGTTTGCAAAGCAGCCAAACCAGCAGTACCATTTATTTTTGTATTTTTTTTTGGCAATAATTGTCTGTATCAAGAGTGGATTTAAGGAAGACATTGGATGTTAGCATCTATGATAGCGCTACAATGGTATATTAAAGCACATTCAGCACACTTGATGTGCTTAATGGTATTTTCTCAGATTATACTGATTGTTGAGAAGTTCCGTCTGAATGCTTTTTTCTTCAGGGTCTGATGCACAGTTACCGGGAAGCATTTGAGGATGATGAGACTGGTCGCCATGGCAATAGTTCCTCTTTCGAAAGCAGCGGTAAGAATTGTTTTGACTCTTTGAATTAGGATTTTAAATTTGACTTCAATGGATTTCTCTTTATTTATTCTTTGAAAAATGAAAAAAATATAAATAGACAGTGCACCAAAATTTACACTTGGTTGCTGGGTTACATAAAGGTTTATTTATTTATTTATTTTTTAGCTCGATCTACTCCAGGTTTGACAAAGACGCCTCTGTCTGCTCTGGGACTAAAACCTCATCAACAAGGCGGATCAGGTCAGTGCTCTAAGGACCAACACTATAGACTTTCCTTTTCTGTATCTGATTGTCAAACAAATGTTGATTTCACTCAGATAGCAACAAATTTTATTTATGTAAGGCCTTAAACCACCAATGGTCGAAAGAAATAAAAGTTACTGTTGTATTGAAAAAATAAATAAATAAATAAAAATTTTGAGGATCTCAAAGAGATACATTTTTGCTTTTATACTCAAAAACCCCTCAGATAACTGACTTAATGAACTCCAAGATTCCTCCAAAATGTTGTGAAAATGCTGAAAAAGCTGTTTAAATTCATACCTACTCCTGGACATCCTTCTACATTTCCCTATTGAGCTCCTGTCTTCTTTTTTCTGTCCTTCCTTTTTGACTTGCATTGCCGCCAGACTCCGATTGTAATAATGCACAGCAAGGTAGGGACCCTTCTGCTTTGACATAGTTTCACATTCTCCAAACTTTTTATTGTTTTCTTTTATAACAACCTTGTATTTTATTGCAAGTAAACGTTTTGTTTTTGAGTTCGCCGTTTTCATTTTGTCCTGTGCTTCTCAGATAATCGCAGCGCTGGGGACTCGAGACCACAACCATTCACAGCTCCTCTGTCCTTCGGCAGTCCTGTCCACACCACCGACAGGTGAGGTTTTCCACTCTGACCTCCCGCATTTTAGTGAACAGAAGCATTTTCAGTAGGTCAGGATTGCTTAACCAACTTCCATGCACTGTCTTATATCACATACAGCTCATTCTATTTTTCTTGCACTTTTTGCTTTGTTCAATAGCATTTGTCCTGCAGGAGTGTTGGGTTACTGAATGGTTGTATTTAGAAATATAACAAAAGACAGACATTCAGACATGATGTCAATTTCCAAAATTTAGCCCAGTTTATGGTCAAGATGGACCATAACTAGACCGATGGACTCTAACTATGGACCAGATTTGTGTGAGCTGATCCATAGTTAAAGTACTTCAGATACAGCCTGGTTCTATAACCTGAATGCTAGACAGATTCTGGCTTCTAGATGGCAGCAAAGTGCCTTCAATACCAAATTCCTGTAGCGTTACTGCATTAAAGACGCAAATTAGCCATAATAGTTTAGAAATTTGTGCTGCACTGTAATAAGTATAATATACTTGGAATAACCAATTGAGCATACTAACTAGGAATGTGTACTATAATTATTCACTACTTTGTTTTGGTTGATAGCATAAAATTGCAATAATATACCTTATTTGCATTAAGAGGGTTGGAGCAAAAAAAACAATTTCAAGGGGTGTTAACACGTTTGGAAGGCACGGTTTGTAAGAGAATTTTGAAATGTTAATATTCAGGAAAACATAAATGTGTTTTTATTTTTCAGAAGGAGGACTGGTTCTTCTGACAGCGCCCCCCACAGTCCCGCCTCCCCATACACCAACAGACCCTCGTCCCCTGAGGGCTCCCAGGTCAACATCATGGGCGTCCACACGGTCCCCGGCAGCCCGAACACCCTGCACCGCACAGTGGCCACCAACACGCCTCCCAGCCCTGCCCTTCAAAGACGCCTAGGTCAAGCCAGCCCCTCCCTGACCAGACATCAGCCCCCATCCAGCCCTCTGATAGGTCGAAACCCTAAAACTGCAACCGCCGCCGTCCCCCCGAGCCCACTGATGGGGCGGCGCGCGGCGTCGAGCGGCCGCAGCACACCCGATGAGCTGGGGGCCGCCTCTCGTCAGGGAAGCGCCCAGCCGCCTCCCACCCCCGCCTTCCCCGTCTCCCCACAGCTTCCAGAGAAGAGACACATGTCCAGCGGCGACGCAGAGAGGACAGAAAACAGGAACCTGACACCAGCCAGCGGTGGCAGCACGCCAAACCTTTCCGGCACACATACCCTCCCAGACGTCTCCAAGTCCATCTATGGTGAGACACGGGACGGGTTGTGTTTTCTCGCGGCTGGCTTGTGTGCTCAGTAATCATCTTTCCTGTTTGTTTTGTTTTAAACAGATGGTTATCCAGACATTAAGATGAATGTTAAGTTTGTCCAGGACACTTCTAGGTTCTGGTACAAGCCAGATATCTCCAGAGAACAAGGTGAGGGCTCTAAATGCCGCTAAACCAAATGATTTACAAATACTGTACAGAAAAAAACACAAGGCTTTTTTTTCCCACTGTCTGACATTTAATTTGATTACAAACTTTTTCTGTTTAGATTATAATTACTAAAAATATTTTTGATGTACTAAATGCCAGAATTTGTCTGCTAACTGCTAACAATTCAGTCTTATTTAACGTCAGACAGTGGGAATGAATATATTACGGAATTTTCTACAGTGTAAGTGAATATCTTGTGGTTTATCCAGTGTTTTTCTATGTATTGTGACTTCCTCCTTCCTCTTTTCAGCCATTAGTCTGTTAAAGGACAGGGAGCCCGGGGCATTCATCATTCGGGACAGCCACTCTTTCCGTGGAGCCTACGGTCTGGCCATGAAGGTGGCCTGCCCCCCACCAACTGTCCAGCAAAACAAAAAAGGTAAACTCAGTGACATATTGAGCTCTTCTATGAAGTTTGCGTCCTGTTTTACTCACATGATTCTTTGGTAGTTGCCGACATGACCAATGAGCTGGTGAGGCACTTCCTGATTGAGACCAGCCCCAAAGGCGTTCGCCTGAAAGGTTGCCCCAATGAACCCTATTTTGGTGGGTGTCCTAAATTTTGCCTGTGTTGGGAGTTCTTGAATCCAGCGGTCCAGTTTCACACAAAGATTATTTTGTGTGTGTATTTGCAGGATGTCTCTCTGCTCTGGTGTACCAACATGCGATGACTCCTCTGGCTCTACCCTGCAAGCTGATGATCCCCACCAAAGGTCAGGAACACCCTAACACTGTCTGATTCTCATGAGTTTTAGATGTCGGAAGAAGTGATTGTTGCCTTCATTCTGTGATGTACTTAGGATTTGTTTTCTGATAATAACCACTTAATCTCCCGACCTAAAGATCCAAATGAAGAGGCGCTGGAACTTGCTACACCTACTGATCCAGTTGTTGAGCTTCTCAAACAGGGAGCTGGTAAGGATTTGTGGAAATTGCGAGTAGAAATGTCCATTTTATTAGCATTTCTGAGGGATTCTGCAACTTTATCATGCAGTTTTTTCATAGTACTAGTTGTGTTTTTTTAACCAGTCTCTGCATTGGGAGACTTTCTGGAAACAAACCTTCAAACAAACAAGGCAGCAAGCACTGCTCAAAGTCTCTAGAAACTGTTTTTATTATTATTATTATTTTATATGGCAAAGAAGACTTTACAGAAAGTGAAGCACATATGCGTAGAGTAAAATTAGACAATATATTCTAGAAACATTGACTTAAATGTTGTTACCCTTATTTTACAGTTCAGAAGGTTCCTGAGGAAGCCTATGGTAAATACTGGTTTTGCATGTTTTTTGTAGTTATGAACATGCTGTAATGGAGTTGGCTTTAAATTATCCCTGAAGATGTTTACTATTGCATGGACAAGACATGCATGCGAGTGACTGTAGAAGAATATCTGAGTGTAAAGCCTCCCAAATTCCTAAATAGAAAGCAACTGACTTGTTGTTTGTTGAAGGTCTTCTTGTTCTCATCCAGTTGCTGTAGTCCCTATTTCAGGTTATGATCAAGTTCACATCTTCTCGTTTTGTCTGGGATTAAAACCTGTGTGATGGAAATCCACACTAAAAGGACAGTAAAAGGGGACAAACGTATTACAAAAATACCCAGCATAACGAGTTGTTCTCAAATTAAACGAGGGATAAACAAGGGTCTATGGAGCTACAATATTGAGGAATTCAGAGCAAAGCGTTGCACTTCCACTTTATGTAGATCTTGACCCTTGACCCTTAGATCCACAAATCTGAACCAGCAGCTTGATGCGTTTTCTCTTTTATGAGGTCAGTTTCCCTTTGATGATTTTATAACCATCAACCTTGAGATATGTGACCAAAAGTAATAAGATGTTGGCAGTAGTGAGAAGCATTTTGCAAGGGACAATGAGTCAAACAATGGGTCAGTGGTTCATTGACGCATTGGTCATCGGGTCAATGACTAATAGGATTTTGACGGTTCTATCGGTTCTATTCTGCCTACATCTCGGAAGCCTGACATTCCAAACCCAGGATGAGAACTGCAGAATCAGATGTGAAGGATCTTCAAGAAACAAGAAGTACAATAGCTTTCTGTTGAAGCACTTTGGATGATGCTCTTGATCACTGGGAAACGGCATTTGACTGTTGAAAATGCATGATTGGCTCATCCAGTACATTCTGCTCTTCCAGTCATCCTCCATCAGCTGACACTGACCTGCTCCCATTTTGTTGATTCACAGCATGTAATGTTCTCTTCATCAACTCCGTGGACATGGAGTCACTCACGGGGCCGCAGGCCATCGCCAAGGCCATTAGTCAGACACTGACAACCAACCCACTCCCAGCGGCCACCACTGTCCACTTCAAGGTGTCCATGCAGGGCATCACCCTCACCGACAGCCAGAGAAAGTAAGGAAACAACAGTGACATCTAATAAATGCCGCGATAATAGCATAAAGGCTTCCACGTATTCAGGCGTACCTTAAATACTCTGCGAGGCGCACGGACTCTCAATCTCGCAGCTGTGCGTCCTCACAGGTCGTAGCAGCGTATGTGTATGCAGGCGTAAAAAAATTCATCCTTGCGCAGACGTCCACTTTGAGTCCGCAGAGTGAAGAACGCCTGAGTACATGTGGGCCTTAAGTCTCTGGTAATGGGTCATTTGTCTTTTGGTACAGGATTTTCTTCCGGCGACATTATCCTCTTAACACAGTCACATACTGTGATTTGGACCCCCAAGACAGAAAGTAAGAATTCTGTTTAACATACATTAGCAGCATGTATGTTGACGACCACCAAATTGTAACATAAAATTCCTATTTTTGTTCAATAGATGGGTAAAAGAAGGAGGTGGATCAGTAAAGTAAGTCCACATTTCAACAGCTGAGTTTTTGTTATACTTTAGAGTTCAAGCTAAGGTGTTTCTTCTTTTCCAGGCTTTTTGGGTTCGTCGCAAGGAAACAAGGAAGCACAACGGACAATGTCAGCCACCTGTTTGCTGAGCTGGACCCAGATCAGCCCGCCTCGGCCATCGTCGGCTTCGTCTCCAAGACGATGAAGCGGTGAAACCCTGCGACTTCGAAAGGCAGTGGCCGGGTTGCAATCTTCCATCACCGTTGGCGTCTTTTGCAAAAGGACTCAACGTTGTCCTTTTTTCGTTCGTCGGTTTATTTCCTTGTTCTCGCCTTCTCTGTTTTTTTTCCTCTCTGCCTTGCTGGCGTGTCTTTCTCGAGAGCCGTCTCCACCCGGAGGCGTCGGCACAGAGCGGAGCTAGCGGACGTGTGGAGTGGAGCCGAGCACGTGACGGGAGCGCGACATTGTAATGTTGAGTGACGGGAACATGTAAGAACTTGTGGATTTCTTTTTTTTTTTTCCCCTGTTCGTTTTATTGATTTACCAAAGGTAGTTGCAATACAAGCGCAAGAATGACGTAGCTAGTAAGCCATTAATATTTTCTCTTTTTAAAAGATGAAGTGAAACAAAAGAAAAATAAGACGCGATGAAAGAAATGTGGTTTCTCTTGAACTTTGATTCTTCAGAAAAAAAAAAGGTGGGGGGTGAAAAAAAAACTGTCTGAAGACGTTATGCATGTTAGCTTGATCTTTAAGCTCGGTTCTTCTACTTTCCAGAAAAGTAAATGTGAATTACGTTGAGGTCATTTTATGGGTCTGCTGTGTGTTGGAAAGGGCTTCGCAGTGAAATAACTGATCTAAACTGTGCATAGCAGACCTCATCTACTAGAAAAAGGAAAAAAAAAACAACCTTTAGGGTCATCTTGTGTCGGTGCAAACCACGCTCGCATTCTTTCAGCATCCAATCCTTCAAAAAAAAAAAAAAAGGAACAGCAGCCTGACATCATCAAGGACAGTCTGTCCACAAGATGGCGCCGCTTGTCCTTCCTTGGACTTCTTCCATCAGCACCTGCTTCGCAGTAACTGATCTGTTTGTAAGACGCTGCCACAGAAACACACTGGAAACCACCGGGAACCGGCCCAATGACCTGGACCTATGCACTGTTCTTTATGCATGTTATTGTCCCAAAACGCACCTCCATCACTGAGAACATTCTTTGCCATGTGTGTACAATTTCAAAAAAGAAAAAACAAAGCAAAAAAAAAAAAAGGATAAAGAAATATCTACCTTTATACAAGAGTTAAACTTGTCAAAAACTGCATGAAATAGACATTTTTTAGTCTTTTCAGAGTTCTGAAAATTTGACAGATACTGAAGTAGCTATTATGATGGCAAGTTTATATATTTATTTTTTATTTCTTTTTTTTTTTCTTTTTTGTCCTGTTCTGTCCCATTTGTGTCAAAACTCCAGTTATTTATTTCCTGTTGTTAATGCTCCATTTAAGCCCCAAGTTCTGATTTTTATTTTCTTTCCTCCCACGTTTAACTATTCAGGACGTTTTGAAGCAAAGGGAAAGAAACATTTTTAAAAAAATTTCTACATTTGTGTCTGCCGAGAACAGAACTCGCCTGAACTATATGGACCCGGTACGGCTTTGGGTTTCTCTTTTTAATCCACGCTGCAAAATTTGACATTTTAGTACCTTATAGAACGAAACAAAACAAACAAAAAAAATACATAAAATGATTCATTTTCTTTTCTTTCTTTGTCTTTCTGGTTATCAGGGAATTCGACTTTTGCTCCTTTCATGAATATTAATTCCACGTTTCACATTCGAAGCAAAAAGGATGTTGACAAAAAATAAATAAATATTGGATGAAAATGAAAACACAGCCTGCATGCGAAACACACGCTTAGACTTTCACAGTACAGTATTCATACAGTAACATTTTAAGATTTTTTATTTTTTTTCCAGATCAGTCCATGCAGATTCTGTTGCCTTTTAGGAAAAGAAGTAAAAACGCACAATGTGCTTAGTTCACAAGTTTTCTGAATGCGATAAAATGACATGCAAATTGCTCCCCCCGTCACCCCCTCTTTATATTAATAATTGAAAAATATTTACTAATAAGAACCAGAGAGAGTTAGGGTTTAGTTTTCCATTATGTTGTTATATTGCCACGTAGGAAAAAAAAGTGAAGAAAAGCATGTATTTCACATGCTTATTGAGAACCATTGACAAAAAAAAAAAAAAGTATGGAAACACTGTTTGTTTCACAGTGTTTCTAAAAAAAAAAAGTTTTTTTGGGACATTTTAGGAAATAAGAAAAAAACTGAGTGTTGAACTCATTTCAATTTTTCAGAAACTCAAAAGTTATGATGTTTTTTGTTGGCGGTTCATTTTAGCCTGCTTGTCACATCAACTCAGTTGTCATTGATTTGAGCCAGACTTACTTTTGGGACCGTATAGTTCAAAGTGAGTTTTTTTTTTTTTTTTACTTTTAAATGTCAGATTTCACGTTTCGCTACCTTCTGGACAAAAAACGACACACTGTGCGCAATACCTGCTTGCTGACCACGTGCATTCACAATAAGCTAATGGGAAAAAAAGTTGATACTGGTATAAATGTACATAGATATACGTCTTTGAAAGGTGACATAGCGAAAAAGTATTTATTTTTTATTGCTTTGTTCCCTCATGATTACTAATATATACCTATATTGTACAGTCTCGATAAAGACAAAATGGGTTGAGAAAACAACAAAAAAACTTATTTTGGCTAATAATTTCAAAATCTGAGGATTTTGAGATGTGTTTGAAAATATGGTGTACATTACTTTGTACATGTGCGTTTCTTTTTCGGTTCATTGTATCCGTTTAATTTTTGTGTGTGTTTTTTTTCCGTCCGTTTTGCTTTCTCTCAGAAAAGAGGCGGGGCATGAATGAGCTCAAGTTGCATGGACAGAAACCGACGAGTGTGCAGATGCATTGTAGAGTTTAGATATTTTTTGGAGTTTTCTTTTTTTTTCCAACGACAAGAAAAAAAAGAGGAAGTTCAGAAGCCAAAGCTTAACACAATATGCACTCATGCTGGTTACATTTATCATTTTGCCAAAGATTCTGTCACGTTGCGTCTTTTCGCGCCGCTTTTCCTCTTTTTTTTTTTTTTTTTTACACCAGATCGCTTTTCTGTTTCCAATTTCTTCAATTGAATTTGTTTCTCAACATGAGAGGACACACACAAGCGTTACGGGATGCACAGTTTACTCACTCTGCTACAAGTTTTCATTTTTTATTTTTTTCCCATTTGTTCGTACGGAGGTCTCAGTGTCTTGCCTCCGTCGCCTGTTGAGGAAAAAACAAGCCTGCTGTGCATCGGAGGAGTACAAACAAAGCACTTCCGTCCACAAGAGGGAGGCGCGACATAAATTCGCGATGGGTGTCGGTGCTGGAAGTAAATGCAGTCCGACGTGTCTCACGGCGACGCTAAAAGCTTCGTACCGACTGCCAAAGGTCTCTTTTGAGAGTCAGCAGATTATTTATTCTTATTTATTCTTTTGGTTCACGTTTGTGTCACTTTCTTTTTTGAAGCGTTAGCGATTTTTTCTTTTTTTTTCTTTTCCGGAATGTAAAATGGCGCTTTATTGACAGCGAGGAGGGCAAACGGGGCTTGATTTGAGAACTAACAAGCTTCTTCCCATCTGTAGCCATTTGGAAAGAAGAAGAAGAAAAAAAAACATGCCATAATTAAATGTTGCCTAAATAAATATTTATATTGGATTGCGTTGTACCTGTTGGCTTTGAGTCAAGAGTTACCAAATGTAGCCTAATTAAAAAAAAAAAAAAACGAAAAAAAAAACGGATTGTTTGACCTCTTGTACAGATGGCATTTGTCTGTTGTATGAATGTGTTGGATGTACAAAAGAGTCTCAGATTTTGTTGCTCTTATCATTTACATTATGCTGTCATGGCTTACCTGTTCCTAAGGAGAAAAAAAAGACATTAAAGCAATACAGATCAGTTACATTGGAGCTATCTGTTCTTTTCTTTGTCTCTTTCTTTTCTTTTTTTCTTTTTTATTTCTTTCTTTGAAAATGGCTTCACAATATGGAAGCCCTAAAAGGCTTAAAGTGTGAAAATGGAGGTTGGATCCTTTCCCTCCTGGAAAGGATCTATTTTAGCTCAGTCATGTTATTCCTGATCGGTGTTTGCGTCTTGCACATATTTAAGAGAAGAATTTCCTGCATTTCAGAAGCTTCGCGGTTCGAAATAAATAAACTTGAAACTGAGCAGCTTTCCAAATGGATTTTTACAAATGACTCAAAGCAAAACTCAGAGCAGCAACGTCCTGGCGGACAGACATGACTCTGAATCTGTCCAAACCTCAGAGCCACACAACAGAAACTCCCTTTCGTTGAAGTGAATAAGCTCCAGAGCAGCAGCCCGGGTTTAAAGCGCGAGTCTCGCCTTACTTAACTAGAGCCCGGAGAAATGAGGGAAGGCGCTCGTAAATATAAAACACGAAGAAAATGCGAGCTTTCTCATGGCTGCAGACGGTGCTCAAACGCCAAAATATGCATGACACATTTCCCCTCTGACGGATGGCGTAGGCGCCGCCGCTCTCGTTTCACTGTGTCACATTAGGAGCTGGAAGGGAGGAAGTGGCTGAGATCACTGATGTACGCAGAGCACGCCGCCTCTCGGGCAGAGCGGAGGGAGGCATCACAGCCGTTCACAATCAATTCAAGTCGACGGTGAATTTAACGGTGACCTCTGTTTGACTGTAATTATACTCTTGATTTCCAGCAGGTTCCCTTGTTTGTAACTGTAAAAATCTGTAGTTTGGTGAAACAAAGCAAGAACTCCTCATAAAAACCTACTTGAGGGATGAAAACTCGACTTTTATAGTTAAGGTGACATAGTTCCATAAATAACCCTACCCTAAACCTAACCCAATCCATAAAAAAAAGCATAGATCGGAAATTTGAACATGATATGCCACAATGATGCACATTCAGTTAGATTGAAATAACTGAACTTCCGGTAAGCTTCATAGCGCACCTTCCTTCACACGTTCCATCCGTCACAACCTCATTAACGATCGGGTAAACAAATTCTAATGTTTGAAACGTCAATCGAGCGCATTCCTTCAGGAAGCCATCATTTCAGTCCAGACTGTCTGGATGAAGCAAAGTGAACAAGATAGGATAGACTGAAAACATCGTAATTGAGCCGTTTTCCTAAAAATCTCGGGATGAATTTTCTTAGAACCTACCCTAAAGTTCACGAATCCACTAACTATGCGAACGCATTTTTGTAGAAGGTCATGGTCGGCCAGAGCCAAACAGTCTGCCAGAGGTTTCACCCAGGTGTAACCTTCCCACACGGAGCAGACTCCTTCGTTTTGGAAAAACCTGACCCCTGAACATTCAGATGTCACTGGACTATAAATATTCAAACACGGGGGCAAAATTCCCTTCGCCTGCTTATCGAATGGAAAAATCAACCTGCTTGTTTAGGTTTGTGCTCCATCTCCGTCACCGACTTCCCAAAGAGACCTGACTACATATTTGTTCAGTAGACACCAGTCACAGATGTAATCTCTCGCAGCAGAACAGAAGGCGCTGAACACTTGATGCTTTTTTCACGCCTAGAGATTCTTGGTCTTCTGATTTTCTCTGTGCAGTCAATGTTAAGCAGAAGTATTTTGGGAAATTATGAAAAGTGAATTAGTGATGTAACCGGGCTGTTTGAGCCAGGGATAATCTTCTCAGGAGAAGCCCTGGTTTGGCTCGTTTGCTTTGAAAAAACACTCCCACCTCCTGTCACATCCGCTCTCTGACCAACTCACCACTCCCGAGGCTTTCCTCAGGATAACAGAGCCGGGGGCTCAGGTTTGATATGGGTGGAAACTGGGCTTCTCATCCACATGTCGGTCAGGAAGCAGCCGTCGACTCCTCGGCCCTGAGACGAGCCAGCTGCTCTCCGGCCAAAACCGGCTCTGCGAGGCTCGCCTTGTCCCCGCAACAGCTCACTGACTCCCTTTTAGCTTCACGCTCGTGTGAAATCTCTCCACAACAGCGAATGTGTGTTGGAGTCTCATCGGCTTTTGTGCGTGTGCGAGTCTGCTTGTCCAGACACATCTTCAGTTTGACATGCAGAGATTCGGATCTGATCCTACACCCAGTAGGACCAGCTTTGTGAGCCTGAGCAGAGTCGCCGAGGCTTCCCAGTCAAGTGAGAACTTGGAGCTGGAAGGAAACGTTCAGGTTTCGTTGCACACCTCAACAGTCACATCAGCAAGCTCTAACTGGAATGAGAGTTCATATGATGAAGATTTTTAGACCATTGGTCTTGTGAGGAACAAGAAGTGAGGAGAAACATCTGAAAATGTTTCTGTTTACACAGGAGACCTAGCAGACTAGCACCCCACTCAGGGATTTTAAAGCACTCTGAAACAGGTCATCATTCAGGTAGATGTTGTCATATCTTTTAGTTTTAGTTCAGAGGGTGGGTTTTTATTAGATATTATTAGTTAAATATTGTTTAGTTTTAGTTTAAGTTTCATTAGTTTGTGTTTTCATATGTTGGCTGCATTCATGTTACAATTTATACCTCAAATTTAAAATTCACTATTAAAATTGAGAAAGTGCTTGAGTATTAGCCAATAACCATTGATATTGGTGGATTGAGATGAGGTCTTAATGGCTCTTCACAATATAATTCATGTGACAATGACGATATAAATGCATCGCCAAATGAACTGCTTATTAAATTAGCTCACCTCTGACGTTTTTCTTGCTGTTAAAGTGAGCTGCAACATTTCAAAGACACCTCCAGCCAAAAAATATCAGAATAAAAGCTCTTCCTGTCCCGTTCAATGGGTTCATTGCATGCCTGTAACTCTTCTTCTTGTTTTCAATCTCATGCCATGGTTGTCTTTGAGTCATAGGTTAAGGTATATTTGAACAAATAAGGCGGGTATGATTGTTTTCAGAGGAGGTCTGTCCACTGTTTATTAGATGTTTGATCTGTGATTATTATTGCCTTGCAAAAATGGTCAGAAATGTAAATTTTGAGTCACCCTGGGGCAAACATTTTTCTTTTTGCAGTCCGAGCCAAGTAGAGATCACAATTCATTTCTCTTCAAATGCTTGTAACAACTTCCTTTAAGAGATGAAATTCTTGTGGCAGGTTTATGTGCGACTTTTTATCCTTGAAATAATTTTCCGCAACATGATCCGTAACGCATCGAGAATAAAAGGAAGCCATCCACACCAATATTCAAGCGAACAGACTCTCTCGTTTGGAGCAAAAACACGGACATGAACCCGGACTGACCTCTCCTCGTAATTTTGGATCATCGCAACACAGTCTCTGTATTGTATTTCCAACGTTTCTTTGAAACGGGATTTGCTGGAGTGTTTTCTTTTTCTTGACAAAAAGGCAGAGATAATTACCATCATGAATGAATATGACCACCACGTTTCGTCTCCCTGTACAAGGCAGCCCAGATTCCGTTACACAATCATTATTTAGTCTGCAAATTTTGCCAACGGCAATAAAACTCGAGACGATCTCATCCGAGGGTGGAACAAACACTTCTCGTTGCAATCACGGGGAAATGATGATGATGCCAGAGGATTGCAAACTGTCTGTTTTAGCACACCTCCAGGTCTCCTCCGATTTAAAGGGGCGCTTTTCATTTTAGAGAAACTGTCCTGCAAAGGGCATGACATTTTTATTCATCCAAAAATACAGCCTAAAACTTTTCTGCTTTTTGTCCTTTGCAAATTACATTTTTCATCTTTCCTTCTCCGTAACTAAAACAACACAAATCTGAAAAAGGTACAAAAGTGAACATTTCTTCAATATAGGAAACTAGCGGGGAAGCTGAAAATTTATTCAGGTTTAAAGGAGGCATCTCCAATGATAACTGCCATCTAGTGGTCAAATAAACTGCTTGTAAAGAGTACTAAGGCAACATAGTGCTATATATTGAATCCACCATTAAATCTGAACTTACAAACACAGGGTTCATTTATCAAGCATGTAGCACAACTCCATGAAAATCACTTTTCTTTTGGAAAAGCTTCCGCTAAGAAAACTGGCAAAAGTTCAGCAATTTCAGCAGCTGCCAAAGTCCCAGATGAATCAGCGTCGTTGCTCATCAACCCCGTCAGCGATACAAACTCCTGCCGTGGCATGGAAACCAAACACACTCACTTTAGAGGCTTGCGTCTGCAAAAATCAACACACTCACACCCCAACTAGGCTTGGAAAGGAGGAATATATATTTATATACATATATATATATAAAAAGAGGCATAATTCAACTTTTCTCTCAACAACTGTCAAGACATCCCCTTGAGGGAAATCAACCAACAACTGCACCTCCAGGTGTCAACACTGAAAGTTTTATTCAGTAGCTCCCAGCTGTGAAAGATAATAAGCAGAAAGAAGAGCTTTCGCCTCTTCCTGTCTGTTATTATTTTTGAAATCTCTGTGACCTGTTTCACAGACATTTACTAAACTAAACGCCTCTTTATTGCTGAACTCAGACATTTTCCCATCAACTGGACCAGAAACACTTTCTGCGATTTTGTGGCGTTTTTTTTCATGACTTTTCTGCATTTTTGTTTTTTATTAAAGGTGATGAAAAATAAAATGCAGCTAAACATCACAGACTAAACCGAATTTACTCACGTGGAATAGCTGTCTTGGTATTTTAAATTTTCTCATGAAAAAAAAAAGAATTTTGTACCTTTGTTGAGAGAGCACTGATGTTTCCTTTTCCCTTCCCAGGCTTTTTTTTTTTTTTTTTTGACAGGTTGTTATGCATGTTTTCAAACTTGCAGCCCTCCCACTCAACCATCTGCTGTCGCGCAGCACATCGGAAAGCATTCCTCATGCACAAGTTTGTCCGGAAAACTCCGGGATTGTGAAAATCGCAAAGTACAACAGCGAATGCAACAAAGTCCGTCTTTTCACGCGGCGTTTTAGTTGGCTGAGCCCGTTCAAAAG